ATAAAGGAAGCCAGTAAAGACTGTGCTTTCCAGCTAATTACCTTTGGCCCCAAATTCTGCTGGGATACTCTGGGAGACAGCATCAAACACGCCTCAGAATTATCCCATTCTGAGGGGTGCAAAGCTCTTCATTATTGGCTAAAGGCTGCTTCTTCCCTGAGGCTCCACCTGTCACTGACTCAGGGATGCTTCCAGGTGCTCACATTCCTGAATTTCCAGCGTGTCTGAATTCGCCCTTTTTGCTCCAAAAAAGCAGCTCTCAGACTGAAAGCCACCAGTCTGTACAATCATCAGCAGCCACCAGTGCTTGCCACATTGGAATCACTATTATTCTCTTTTGTTGGGTCAGGCATACATCTGTGGAGCTGCGGGGCAGTATGTCAGTGACACTGTGCTGCACTGACACCTAACCACTCAAAGCATCCCACTCGCCTTCCTATCATGACCAGCAACATCTGAGTCCTAGTATGACCCTAGTTACACTGTCAAACTGAGATTCTTATAACATATGGTTTATATTTCTCCTTTAAAAAGAAAACCATTCAGGAAGCAATGAAACAGGATTTTATAATGAAAAAAATAAGCGGGCTGCTTCCTAAATTCAGCTATTTTGATTAAAGCCGGCAGCTACATTTAAAGCTTAAGTAGGAAATGCAAAGATCACGACTCAATTCCATTTTCTCTCTGCCCTTCCTTTTCCTTGATGATGCTGTCCTCCTGGAGACCATCAACTTCCAGGGACTGGGATCAGGCCGACAGAAAAAGAGCTGGACATTCCAGAGTGGAAGCTGGAAAGGCTCAGATAGCAATCTTCACCTGAAATCCTTGGAGGGGGTCTGAAACCTTCTGATAAAAGACACATCATATAAATGTCTTTCTGAAATGTATACATTCTTTTTTTTTTCTGAGAATTGCCAAGAATTTAGGAAACTCTTAGTTACACAGGATCACAAAAGGTCCAGATCCTGATCTTAGAAATGACATTAACCGTCTTGAGTTGGAAGGCACCAGGGCAGTTTCTCTGATCTGTCCCAGAAGTGAGTGCATGCCTTTGAAGCATGATTTACTGTCTACAACCTTACATCTAACAGCCTGGCAATCCACCTGTTTTAGTTCAGCCCCTTATGCAGTGGCAGCTTTGGCTGTCTCCTATGGAGAGGAACATAGTCATGAAAACATCTTTACTTTAGAAGTGAGTCAACTGGAAAAGCCACTGGTGCTGCATGCTATAGATTGGATGGATCAACCAGAGTTGTATACCCATGATACCAGAGGGACTACACCTCCAGGACAGGCTCAAGAGGCTGGTCCTGGATAATCTTGAGTCTCAGGCATTCAAGTAGCTGTGAGTTCTGATGCGCCAATGCAAAAATGGTTATTTATTTACCCAAGAGTTTAAGAATTCCTATTCTGGGCAAGGCCTTTCTAGACACTGCCAATATTGAACAAGGTAATGTCTTTGCTCTCACAGAGATTAAACTCTAGTTGGAAGGCCAAATGTTGCACAAGAGATCATAGTATTCTGAGAAATGGTGGTGTGAAATATTTTAGGGACACACACCAGTTTGCAGGGGCAAGATGGAAAAGCAAAAGGAAAGGCTTCTTGAGGGGAAATAATCTGACAGTAAACTCTGAAGCCTATGACATCAATCACTACAGACAACTTAGAAGTGTGTGTCTTTGCCATGTTGCTTTGCCAAGTTGCAGACTGAAATAATCAGCAACTGGCATATTCTTCTCTTGGATAATTCCAAATCACTCATTAATTCCACATGTACAAAAATGAATTCCTAGTTTTCATTTTTCTAAAATATTTAATTTACTTAAAAAAAAGTTACAGAGAGACAGAAAGACAGAAATAAAGGTTTTCCATCTGCTACTTAACTTCCCAAATGGCCAGAACTGGGCCAGTCCTACGCCAGGAGGCAGGAGCTTCCTCCGGGTCTCCTACATGGGTGTAAAAGTCCAACAACTTGAGTCATCCCTCACTGCTTTTCCAGGCCATTAGCAGGGAGCTATACCAGGAGTACAGTAGCCAGGACACGCATTGGTGCCCATATGGAATGCTGGTGCTGCAGGTGTATCAGCTTGCTATGGCATGGTGTCAGTTATTCCCTACTTATCAAGCCTACCCCAATTTTTAGATGACAAAATGTTGGTATGGAGAAGGGAGAGGAATGAATTCTTAAAACATTTCTCCTAAATGTAGTACTAACTCCTCCAGGAAAAAATAAATTCTTGCCTTACTTCCCAATGTTTGTGAATTAGTAAAACAGAGTCTACTGGGCAAGTCTGAGTGATGTCTTCATTTGGGATCAGTCATTGGGACATGAAGAAGGGCAGAGAGCAAAGGGATGAAATTTCTCACATCCACGCTTGAATTTCTCAGAATAGTACTGGGCTACACACCAAAGGTCCCCATAGCAAATGTTAGGTTTTGCAGGCCATAGGCTGTCTGTTTCACACAAGTCTGTTTTCCAAGAAAACCTCAAGATGGATAATGCTTATGTAATTTTCACATATCATAAACACTGTTCTAATTAGAACACACGTGCGTGCACACACACATGTGTACAAACAAAAAACTAAAAATGTCAAGACTGCTTATAGGCTATGCCAAATACTAACAATAAAATGGCAGTCGACTGGATTTGGCAGGGTGGATTGCAGACCCCTGCTGTACCTTGCAGCCACCATCTTTGTGAAACAATAGATTCACAGCATCTTCTTTAAGTCTTTACATTTCCATTGCCTCTAGAATAACTTACTTGGTTTATATGATATGTAATGACTACAGTATGACCTCCACCTACACTTTCATACTCATCTTCCACACTCAGCCACCAGAAACTCTCCTACAACCCCTCTTGCAACCAGGCTGTGCCTGTATGTTTGAAACATCCCTCTTTACCTTTCCATTATCTATACTAGCAGATTAAATGTCAAAATAAATAAATAAATAAAAAATAAAATTGCAAACAGTAGAGAAATGGATAATGGATAATGAGATACCAGGCAGTCACTTTATAGTTGTAGATGAATGAGAAACACTATTGATGAAATATTAAAACACATGATGAGCACAGGTTCTAATCCTGGCAGCCCTGCTTTCCCATACAGCTCCCTGCTTTTGGGCCTGGGAAAGGAGTAGAGGACGGCTCAAAGCCTTGTACCCTGCACCATGTGGGAGACCCTGAAGAAGCTCCAGGCTCCTGGTGGGCTCCTGGTTTCAGAAAGGTACAACACCGGTCATTGCAGTCATTTGGGGAGTGAATCACTGGATGGAAGATCTTCCTCTCTGTCTCTCTTCCTCTCTGTATATCTGACTTTTCAATAAAAAAAAAAAAATCTTAAAAAAAAAAAAAGCAAAAGGAGTTTCACATTTCAGGTATTGATGATCTCACACTTTCACTGGGTATTATCCTTACACTTTTGCTAACTGAGAAGTAATAATTTTGATAGTACTTTTTAGTAGTCCCAGGTAACACTACTTTTGCCCAATCACTTAAATGACCTTAATGCTCTCTCATCCATACCCTCACCTGTCATGACTTCTGCGAAAAACGAAAATGTGTCCTAGGTTTGGCAATGTATCCTCTAAAAAAAAAAAAAAAAAACCCACAAACATCCAGGAGGGACTTCAGTAAACTTGGTAGAGTGGTAGGTAATCCCTGGGAACAGGATCTATACTTTCTAAAGTACATATTAGCAAATAAGAAGACAATTCAAGTTTAAAGTTAACCCCTGGAATCTCAGTTAAATATGTAACTTATATGAGAGAAATGGGACAAGGAAAAAGTTTTAGTCTACTAAACACTCAGTTTTCTAAAATCATTCCTAATCAAAGTATAATATACTGAGAGATTTTTAGTTCCTGGCCTTTGATGAAAAACTTTGAAAGGTAGCTTTTTGTCCATTTTTCTTAAGTAGAATCACAAATTTATCCCCAAATTCGAGTTAAACCTTAAAGCTTTGAAAACCAATGCGAGATGCCCATTAGATAAGGGTAGACACAGGGTCACTCTTGGCCATCAGTACTTACCTCTGCAGAGGTGGGGCCCACCACGGGTGGCCAAATGCACCTGCTGAGCACCATCTGAAAACACGTGTTGCACATTTTGTTCAAAATTTTGTTCATTGGAACACACATTTGTTCCAACTGCCTTGAGAATTACTCAAAAGATGAGGACTCGCCGGGGTTTGACTTTTATTGAGCATGCAGAACAACGTCATCCAAACCCCAAAGTGCTAAAACCCGAGAGGTGCCAGACCAGTCCGACACCCACCCGCCTCATCCCTACTAGCTTTCCCTCCGGCTCGGGCTCAGCCTCCCGCCCGCCGTGCTCCGAGCGGATGGACAGCGGCGTTCCTCCTGGGGTCCACTGTCCCCAGCGGAGGGACGGCGGCGGGCCCCCGCCTCAAGCGCTCGGAACAGGAACGGGCGGACTCCTGTCTCTCAGAGGCGCCGGGGCTCGGTCCGCCCCTCAGCGCCCCGCCCGGCTCCGCCCGCGTTCGGTGGGCTTCTCCCACGCTGTGGCCCGTGTGTGACGAGCTCGAAGCCGAAGGGGCAGGCTCTGGGCGCCGGGCCGAGAGCTGAGGGAAGAGGGAGCCGGGCAGAGAGCTGAGGGAAGGGGGCGCCGGGCCGAGAGTGAAGGAAGGGGGCGCCGGGTCGAGAACGGAGGGAAGAGGGAGCCGGGCAGAGAGCTGAGGGAAGGGGATGCGGGCCGAGAGCTGAGGGAAGGGAGCGCCGGGCCGAGAACGGAGGGAGGGGGCCGCAGGGCCGAAAACAGAGGCAAGGGGCCGCAGGGGCCACAGCTGAGGGAAGGAGGCGACAGAGGTGGCTGTTGGCAGCCGCGAAGGCGCGACGCGCGGCGGGCTCCTTCCCGGAAGCGGAAGCTCGGGGGGCGGGCCGAGGAGGACCGGGAGCCCGCGGCGGTTGAGTCCTTTGGTTGAGCGTCCTCGCTGCCCTCGGTCGGTGGCGGCTGGCACTCTGCGAAGAGATGGTCAGGTCCGGAGCTCGACCCGGTCAGGTGAGGGCAGCGCGCCCGAGGAGTCCCCTGGGCAGGAGAAGGTTCACGGGCCAGGGCAGAGTAAGAACCCTTGCTTGGGAGAGAAAAAGTAAACCAGCGGCGTTGAAAAGGCCGGGCTAGGGCATTTGGTCTTGCGCCGCCAACACAACGGGTCTGTCCCTTGGTGAGAGTGTTCTCCTGGCAGCGTTGTGGCCCTCAGACCACGGGCAGGCCCGGGTTCGAGTCCCGGATTTAGCCTCTACCGGCTTCAGGACACGGTGACCTCAAGTCCGGTCCTCAGCTCCTGACTAGTGCTGCAGTTTGCTGATATTAGTTATCTATTGCTGCATTTTAGTATTATTTTTAAAGTCTCCCAGTTAGTGCCTTCTGCTTTAAGGCCTTCCTCTTCTCAAACACTCACTTTGGTTTAAATCCGACCCTGGCACACGCCCTCTTTGGTCATGGTGAATCTGGTTCTTTGCTCTAGCAACAGTTAGCACCTGGCCCATTCCAATGAGGCCCAGCCTCTTTGTCCTGCAGCAATCTTAGCTGTGGCTGCATCCTCTCTGCCATGCCCCTGAGTGGTTGGCCTGGCACCCTCATGTCTCTCTCCGTTGGGTGCTCTTGGGTCCCTTTTTTTGGTTCCCTGTGATAACCTTCATCAGTCCACTCGAGGCCGGAGACATCATTTATCTACCTACTAGGAAACTACTTGCTCTCCTTATCTTCACGAGCTAAGATACACTTGGCATATGGTAGATTTTCAAGAAATGAATCAACTGTTCCTTTTGTTCTCGTTTACCAACACATCTCTGATGCTGTCTTCTCCAGTGATAGGAATGGTAGGGTTATTCCATGATCTGGCTTGATAGCTCTTTTATAAAGATTTGTGAACAGTCCCCACCTTTGTAGAACTCTCTGTTTTATCTCTTATGAAATGAAGCAGAACACAACCATTTTGTAAGAGGGAAACCATGGTTTTTGTAATCTTCACCAGCAGGTTCAGATTCCCATTCTGCCCTGCTGCTGTTGACAACAGTAAACAAAGTACTTTTTACTTCTCTGAGCCTCCCATGCCTCAGCTATAAAGTACATATAACATCTCTTACATTGATGGCATAGACAAGTTTAGGCCCGTTAAGACACCTAATTTGGTCCTCTGCTATGATAAAATATAGAAGCTAACATTTAGACAGCTTTTATTGTTTCGCAAGTACTACTCTGTTTTATACGTGACATACATGCACTCTTAATCATCATAGCAGGCTTTATGAGGTAACAATGTTATCCCCATTTTATGATGTGGAAATTGGGAGATGAAGAATTCAGGCAGTTTCCCTACAGGTGTGCAACTGATTAGCTGAAAGAGAATTCAGGCTCACATAGCTGGTGCTTGAGTCCATTCTTTTAAACATATGTTATGGACTTAGTAGATGGAAAAGTTTGGACAAGCCACTTCGGGACTTCTGTATGGGTTTCATATCACAGAAGCCGTGACAGGTGAGAGGGTGTGGATGAGAGGCCTTAAGGTCAGTTAAGTCATTGTGCAAAAGTAGTGTTACCTGGGACTACTAAAAAATACCATTAAGGAGATTATTCTCAAATAGCCAAAGTGTAAGGATAATACCCAGTGGAAGTGTGAGATCATCAATACCTGAAATGTGAAACTCTTTTTGTTCTTTTTAAATCAGAGTTAGATTTTCGGGCCCGGCGCGGTGGCGCAAGTGGTTAAAGGTCCTCGCCTTGCACACCCGGGATCCCATATGGGCGCCGGTTCTAATCCCGGCAGCCCTGCTTCCCTTCCAGCTCCCTGCCTATGGCCCGGGAAGGCAGTCGAGGACAGCCCAAAGCTTTGGGACCCTGCACCCGCGTGGGAGACCCGGAAGAGGCTCCTGGCTTCGGATCGGCATAGTATCGGCCCGTTGTGCTCACTTGGGGAGTGAATCATCGGATGGAAGATCTTCCTCTCTCTCTCTCCTCTCTGCATATCTGCCTTTCCAATAAAAAAATAATAAAAAAAATAAATCTTTAAATCAGAGTTAGATTTTCAACAACAGGCTCATTCTGCAGGTTGCTGCAGTGGCCACGACTGGGCCAAACTAATGCCACGAGTCTGGAACTTTGGGGTCTCCCACATGGCTGCAGTAGTCCAAATACCTGGACCCTCTTCCATTACTTTGCCCAGGCTACTAGCTAGAAGCCAGGTCTGAATTGGAGCAGCTGGAACTTGAGCTGGTACCCAGAAGGGAAGGCAGTGTCGCAAGCAGCAGCTTTATTTGCTATACCATAGCACCAGCCCTTAGGGTGCTCCTTTTGAAAAGGAAATGTATACATTGTATTAATGGCCATTGAACTGCTAATGACCTTTCACCAAATACTCAGACATTTAATCCTGAAAATGAAAATACTGTTCTCAGTATTTAGAAAGGTTTATTTCAGATTTATTCTTGTTTTTGAAGAGTCACAGAAAGTGCTAGGCATTTGCTGTACCAACCTCTAGATGCCTACTGTAGCTAGGTCTGAAGTTAGGAGCCAGGAATTCAACCCCAGTCTCCCAGGTGGGTGGCTAGGACCCAAGTGCTCAGAGCCAACACTGCTGTCTCCCAGGGTCTGCATCAGTGGGAAGCTGGAATTGGAAGCAGGACTAGGAATCCCACCAGGCACTGCAGCATGGAACATGGGTGTTCTCACCATGGAATCAAGTGCCTACACATTCCTTTGTTTTTTAATTCTGAAGATATCAGTCAAACTAAGACCATACAACTACCATTCAAGAATATGTACAAGCATTCAAATTTTTAAATGTTCATGTGGAAAAAGATAAGTAAAAACAAAAGTCTCAGAATTACAAGTACATTCCTATGGTCCAATAGAAAATGTATGTGAAAACGTTGCAAGCTCTAGTAGCCAACATCTAGTGCCCAAATCTTGGTTTTTAAATACTATAACCTGCTAGAGGAACTGTGACTTCCTGGGAAAATGGCTCGTTTCTGGACTGAAAGAGGGAGTATAAAAATGAGCCTGTATATCAAACAAAAAGTTTCTGCTCAGGAAAAGGAACAATAAAGCAAAGAGAGAGCTTAAAGGATGTGGGAAAATATTTGCAAACCAAATACCTAGTAAAATTAATATCCAAAATGTATAGGAACAGTTGCAACTCAACAGAAAAATAAATATAACCTAATTAAATGAGCAAAGTATTTGAATAGACATTTCTCAAAAAAAAGGCATGAAGATGCTAGTAAGTACGTGAAAAAAAAATCTCGGTGTCACTAATCATTAGAGAAATGCAAAGGAAAACCATAGTGGAATGTCACCTAATGCCTGCTAGTATGACTTTGCTTTTTGAGCCTTGATTAAGCTATATAGGAATTGAAAAACTTGTTTACATGGTGGAAATGAGAATGAATCCTTAGAAAATAGTGTGGTGGGCCGATTCTGTTTCCAGGACTCTTTAAGTGCCCTGAGCTGCTGCCATGAGCAAAGCTCATCCTCCCAAGTTGAAAAACTGTATGGACAAAGAAGTTGTCATTTAAATTAAATGGTGGCAAGCATGTCCAGGGAATATGGCAAGAATCCATTCATGAGTCTGGTGATAGGTGAGTGTGTGGAGATGGCAAATAGTGGATAGCAGAACAATACTGGAATGGTGGTAGTACGAGGAAATAATGTAATCATGTTAGAAGCCTTGGAACTAGTGTAATAATAAATGTTCAGCAAAATAATCTATCTTCTCCAAAAGGACCTCGTTTGCTATGATATGATATGAAAGTTGAGACATGTACATTTTTGTGTTTTTGGTTTTTTAATAAATTGTGATAGTCAAAGAAAGAAGAAAATAGTGTGAGAGCCTTCAGAAATTAAAATTGGAGCTATTTTATCTGATCCAGCAAACCTTTCTGCTGTATATCCAAAGAATTAAAATCTTGATCTTGAAGAAATATTTACAGCATTATTCACAGTATTCAAGATATAAAAACAACTGAAGTATCCATCTACAGATGAATAGACAAAGAAAATAGGGTATATACATACAGTAGAATATTACTCAACTTTTAAAAGTAAGGAAATTTTGCCTTGGGTAACAACAAGGATGGACCATTTGAGGACCTTATGTTAACTAACCTAATCACAAGAGGTAGGCTTCCTGAATCTGTATGAGATATTTAAGCTAGTCAAACTGAAGCAAGGAGAGGAATGTTCATTGCTAAGAGCTGGGGGAAGGGAAGAATGGAGCTGCTGGGCAGTGGGTATATAGGTTCAGTTTTGCAAGCTGAGTAAGTTACAGAGCCTAGTTGTACAACATACTTGTCATTAATACTATATTTTGTTAAGGTAGACTCATGTTAAGGATCCTTACATCAATTAAAAATTTGCTGGAGTATCTTGCAGCACAGTTCAGAAGATAATGAAGTCATGTTAAATGAAGCTGGAGTCAATTTGAAGGGTTACCCATTGAGCAGATCTGTAGTATTTTGATATCAGAATGATAACAGTAGATCATAAGTCATTAAATAAATGGGAATCCATGACTCCATACTAGTAAATAAGTGAGGAAGAAAGGAAATTGGTTAGGTAGAGTTGAATACCAACACATAAAGGTAAGCCAGCAGTGACTAACAGAATGAATTCAAACAAAAATCGTCTATGGATGCTAAAATAGTGGTTGAAAGTTGAATGAATAGAATATATACATTATGTAGTCTCCATCAAGTGCTTAATAATAATGACAAAGATAAAAATAGAAACTTAAACAGTGAAAAACCTGGCAGATAACACCTTAAATAATAAAATTCATATCAACGTTAACAGGACAAACTGACATCATTAGTCTACTCATTGAGAAGGCCCCAGCATCTCTCTTTTTTGATATTCCTGCCCCAAATGCATAACCTGAGTCTACGCAATGGTAGTCCTTAAATCTGTCAGGGTTAGTAAAAGATAGTGAAAGGCAGCCTCAGGAACTGGTCCAGAATGAGGAAGCTAAAGAGCTCTGACAACTGTTTAGCATATAGTCCTGGGCGCGATGTAGCTTGAGTGTTTTCTCTGTGAAAAACAGTATTGGCCTAATTGACAGCATTAGGTGGAAGGGTCTCTGGGTGATAGTACTGTGCATTTCTGATATTGATGACCATACTTTGTGCGTTCGAGAGTCGCCTTGCTCTGGGGAAGTACTTCAAATAATTCTGTGTGCATTTGTTGAGAGACATGACAAATGTGAAATGTCAAGAATTGTAAAATCTAAATGAGGCATATATAGGATTTCATTATAATTCCAAAAGAAAAACATTTTTGAAAATGAAAGGAAGTGCTTCTTTATGGTAGTTACTGTCTCAAGGTACTTTTATCATGGATAATTTTCTGTATTAAATTTCCTAAACTATAGCCTTATGTGTGTGTATGTGTGTATACATGTTTTTGTGAAATGCCATTTGAAATCTTATGACCATGCCATACATTTGTCTCAGTGAGTGTTCTTTTTAACATATATGTGAGAGACAGTAATTGTGCTAGTTCTTTAGGGGGATTTCAGTCTGGGGACATCAACATCGTGCCTTAAATTTTTACTATGGTCCCAACCAGAACATCACAGCTAAAGGCCCTGAGTATGAGATGCAGACTCATGGAAGTACCTTACACAACATCCATTATGTTCTCATTCTTCCTTCATGACTGTTGTAAGTTATCTCAAGTAGTGTCACTCATGGGCTGTCATGGTGGTGTAGCAAGGTAATTCACTGCCTGCAGTGCTGGCATCCCATTATGCAAAGTAAAATGGTCCTTACCAGCAGCATGAAGGGAAGAAGCATAGAAAGTTACTGCTTGGGGGGATGCAGAGTTTCAGGTTGGGAAAATGGGAAAAAAAAAAGTGACATTTTAGGTTTTGTTGAGACTTTGAAAATATGAGAACAAAATGTTCATACATCTGTTATAATGCAATACGTTATGTCCTAGGTGCTGTCATCAGGAAGGCACACTGGACCTGCTAAATTAACAAGTGGAAAGAAAGGGTAAGAGCTTAAGGAAGTTTATAGCTTAAGGAACTCTCAAACTTTTCAGGCCTGTGGGCTGCACTACCTGTCACCTCCCTCGGAAAACTAGATGGTCTTCTCCCTTCACAAGCTCTGCACAGCCATAGTTTGTATCTAATCATGTTAATCATTTTAGTATTAAGTACTATTAACCATTTTAATATATACATTTTATACATAGTTAGATGAATTTTCCGACCTTTGCTTGAAAGAAAATGTCCTTTATATTTTGGCAGAAAGTTAGTTCTTGTAAGATTATTAACAAACTTTTATACATGATTGTATGATCTTTTCTGACCTTTGCTTGAAGAAAAATTACCTGATTTAATGTATTTTATAAGGAAAAAATTAGTGCTTTTAAGACTACTAACAAATTTGTTTTTTAGGACACATTTAAAAAAAATATCACGTCTAAATGCAGATTCTGGCTTTCCCATCCATTCTGATTCAGAAAGTCAGGTAAGATTAAACTGAATAGATAAAGTGCATGCTGTTTTAATTAGTCCACTGGCAGAATCTGAGAAATGGGAAAGAAAGTACAAAGATAGAATGTTAAGGAATCTGAAAAAATTATAAACTGAGGAACTATGAAGCCTCGTAAAGCACATATTCTACCAGTAATGTGAATAAATTCCTTATGAATAAAAAAATGTGGAACCTATAATCATCTTTTTAATTTTGTTCCCATTTTGTATGCAAATATATTCTAAACACTTTCTCCTTACAGACTGAAGCTGTTCAAGGACTTGAGGGTTGTGCTTCTTTGCTGCGGGACATTTTGAGACATGAAGATTCAGGTCTTGTGTTTTACAATGCTTCTTTACTGATCATCTCTTCTCAGTTTAGTAGTTCTTTTAATGTTAATGAATATTTTGTTTCAATTATAGGTACAGAAACAGCATACTCAGAAAGTAGATATAACTCCAGAACTTTAGAAGGGAAAAGATACGGATCAAAAAAGAAAGGCCAGGAAAGACATAAAACTTCTTTAGTCCGGAAAGAATTATGTAAGCACACATTTATTTATTTATTTATTTTAAAAGATTTATTTATTTTTATTGGAAAGTCAGATATAGAGAAGAGGAGAGACAGGAAGATCTTCCGTCCCCTAATTCGTTCTGCAAATGACTATAATGGCTACCGCTGAGCCAATCTGAAGCCAGGAACCATGAGCTCTTCCAGGTCTCCCATGCAGGTACGGGGACCTAAAGCTTTCACCTGTCCTTGACTGCTTTCCCAGGCCATAAGCAGGGAGCTGGGTGGGAAGCGGAGCTGCCGGGATTAGAAGCTGTGCACATATGGGATCTTGGTGCATGCAAAGTGAGGACTTTAGCCACTAGGCTACTTTGCCAGGCCCTCTTCTTTTATTTAAAGGTAATTATTAACTATGGGATCTTCATGAATTATTAGTTTATGCGGTTGTCATTCATTTCAGTAATGTATTGATTATTTGGCTTTGTGTGTGCTTATGCTTCTCTTTCTTGTTTAAAGATCTGTTTATTTACAGGCAGAGTAAGACAGTCAGGGAAAGGGAGGGAAAGAGAAAGAGGGAGTGCAGGAGACCAAGACTTTTTTTTCTTTTTTTTTTCAAGAAATAGTCATATAAGATATTTATTTTTGAAGTCATTTTAATTAGAAAGAAAGATTTACAGGTTGACAGAGAGATGGAGAATGATCTTCCATCTGCTTGTTCACTCCCCAAATGATTAGAGTTGAGCCAATCCAAAGCTTCTTTGGGTTCTCCCATACAGGTGCAGGATCCCAAGGCTTTAGGCCATCTTCTGCCTTCCCAGGCCATAAGCAGGGAGCTCGATCCATGTGGGATGCTGGTGCTCACAGGTGGAGGAAGGCCAGTTGAGTCATCACACAGCCCCAACACCAGGACTTTCTACCTTTTTGTTCATTCCCAAGTGGCTGCAGTGGCTGGGTCTGGGCCTGACCAAAACCAGGAGCCTAAAAATTCATCTGGGTCTCCCACTTGGGTTTGAGTGGCCAAAGTACTTAGTGTCATTTTTCATTGCTTTCCCAGGCCCATTAGCAGGGAGCTATATTGGAAGCAGAGCAGGTCCTGTATTGTGGGATGCTGGGGTAACTGGTTATGGCTTATCTGGCCACGTGGTGCCTGTGGTTTCTTTCTGTATTCAGCTTCTATTTCCTGAGTAGTCACCTGACTTACTATCACTTTCCCAAGGAGGAAAGTAAAAAAAGACTATATTGCAAATTTTTTAGGAAGAAAAGTTTAAAATTAGAATGTTTGGGAAGTATCTTGAGTTATTTTTATTTTCCCTGCTATTTTCATAGATAGTTAGAAATTGGTTGCATTTCAGGTGTATTGTTGCAGATAGTAATTGTTTTAAAGTTGTGTTTTGTTTTTTTTTTGAATGAGATATGAGATTACTTCAAGTAGTTTGTAGTTCCAAGCGGGCTTTTGGTTTAGAGGTTAAGATGCTCGTTTCTGCTTGCTGTGCCTGGGTTGATTCCTAGCTGTGGCTCTGACTCCAGCTTTCCAGTAGTGCAGAACTTGAGAAATAGCAGCAATGGATCAAGAAACTGGACTTCTGTCACTGGTGTGGGAGAACTGGATTGAGTCCCTGGCTCGTAGCTCAGCCCCCGCCTAGCACTGGCCTCTGCGTATTTGGGCACGTGAATCAGAAGAAGGAAAGCTTGTCTCAGAGATAAAAAGTTTTTAAGTTTGTTGAAAAGGTACATTGTTTTCCTTTTAGCTTCTCCATGAATTTTTTGGAAGTACACTGTATATATGCTGTGCTGGTTGAAGAATTCCACTTGTTCAACTGCAGTGAGGATACATGACAGATGGGGAGGTGAAATTCCAAGTTGTGTAGCTAAGAGAGCCTGCCATTGACTGAATGTTTTACATCCTGATAATTCATTATATTTCAAAATTCAGCAGTTTAGAATAAGCACGTTCTGATAATGTTGTTTTTTGGGGACCCTAAAGAACGAGACAGGCTCAAATGAAGATAAAGTCCACAGTGGAAATTGAGACAAGAATTAGACTGGCTAGAGCTACAGTGCAGGTGAGCCAGAAATGCCAAGACTACAGTGCTTATTTAGATTTCACTTAGACAAGACACGAGTGTAGCAAATTGTCTTGAGTAGTATCTCCGAATGTTGGAGATCCAGGATCCAGGCAAAGAGAAAAATGAAGGTGGAGCATTTATAGGTGTAGAAGTTTTCCTCTAACTCAAGTCTCATGTTATCTTCACCTGCATTATTCAAGATAGTAGCAACTAGCCAATATAACTTTTTGAAAAGAGATTTTTTTTTTTAATTGGAAAGTCAGAGGAGAAGAGAAAGAGAGGAAATTTTTCTATCCATTGATTCACTCCCCAAGTGGCCAGAACAGCTGGGGCTGAGCCGATTAAAGGCCAGGAGCCAGGAGCTTTTTCTGGGTCTCCCACATGGGTGCAGCATCCCAAGACTTTGGGTCATCCTTGACTGTTTTCCTAGGCCACAAGCAGGGAGTTAGATGGGAAGCAAGGCTGCCAGGATATGAACTGGCGTCCATTTGGAATCCCAGTGTATGCAAGGTGAGGACTTCAGCCACTAGGCTACTGCACCAGGGCCCACATACAACTTTTGAACACTTCACATATAGCTAGCTCAACCAAGGAGTTGAATTGTTAATTTAGATTTTAAGTTTGAAAACTGATACTTGTTCCAGTTTTATAATTTGAAATAGTTTGAATATATGGATCTGAATGTTCAACTGTAAATTCTATTAAATCTGAATAGACATGAAGTATTTCTGATGAAAATGTAGTATTCAGGTTGATGTACTTTCTGTACAATACATGCTGGACTAAGAACATTTTATATCAGGCTTGTCACGGTAGCCTGGCGACTAAAGTCTTTACCTTGCATGCACCAGGATCCCATATGGGTGCCAGTTCCTATCCCAGCTGCTCCACTTCCTTTACAGCTTCCTGCTGGTGGACTAGGAAAGCAGAGGAAGACAGCTCAAAGCCTTGGGACCCTGCACCCATGTGGAAAACCTGGAAGAAGCTCCTGTCTTCGGTTTGGCTCAGCTACAGGTATCGTGGTCACGTAGGGAGTGAACCAGCAGGTGGAAGTTCTGTCTCTCCTTCTCTCTGTAAATCTGATTTTCCAATTAAAAAAATTATAAGGCCCTGGCACAATAGCCTGGCAGCTAACATGTTTGCTTTGAACGCACCGGGATCCCATATGGGCACCGGTTCTAATCTCAGCAGCTCCACTTCCCATCCAGCTCCCTGCCTGTGGCCTGGGAAAGCAGTCAAAGATAGCCCAAAGCCTTGGAACCCTGTACCCGCATGGGGAACCTGGAGGAAGTTCCTGGCTCCTGACTTCAGATCGGCACAGTACCAACCATTGTGGTCACTTGGGGAGTGAATCATCGGACGGAAGATCTTCCTCTCTGTCTCTCCTCTTGTCTGTATATCTGACTTTGCAATAAGAATAAATAAATCTTTTAAAAAGAATGATACTGAAAATAATATATCTTAGATTTTTGTTATACACTGGGTATATCACTTTAAATAAGATGTTTTGAGAAGTAATTTTACCTATTCTTTTCACTTTTTATTTATCCGGGAAATTTGAAATTATATACAAGGTTTGTATTTTACTTGTGTATCTGTTAAGCAGCACTGGTCTGAACGAGGAGTCAGCACTAAATAGCTTTATTTTGCAAATAATGTGTATTTTGTAAGTTGAGTTTTGGTAGACCGTAGTCTTACTGACTTTTTCATTTTTTTTATTGCTGCTTTTGTACTTTGGTGGTAGTATTGGTAGTATTAAGTGGTTGTGACCAAGACATAAATTATTTTGTGAGAAACCTAAAATATAATAAGATATACTTTGAGATCTTTTTAAAGATTTAATTATTTTCCTTGGGAATGCAGATTTAGAGGGGAGAGACAGAAGGATCTTCCATCCACTAGTTTACTTACCAAATGGCCAGAGCTGAGCTGAAGTCAGGAGTCCTAAGGACTTGGGCCATCCTCTGTTGCTTTCCCACTCCATAAGCAGGGAGCTGAAATGGTAGTGGAACAGGCAGGACACAAATTGGCACCCATTGGGATCCTGGCACTTGGAAGTAGAGATTTCGCTAGTTCAGCCATTGTGTTGGCCCTAAGTAAGAGGGTACTAAGCTCTAAACTCTTATTTTTTTTTAAGATTTATTTTTATTATTTTTTATTGGAAAGGCAGATATACAGAGAGGAGAGACAGAGAGGAAAATCTTCCGTCCGATGATTCACTCCCCAAGTGAGTGCAACGGCCAATGCTATGCCAATCCGAAGCCAGGAGCCTCTTCCGGGTCTCCCATGCGGGTGCAGGGTCCCAAAGCTTTGGGCTGTCCTCGACTGCTTTCCCGGGCCACAGGCAGGGAGCTGGAAGGGAAGCGGGGCTGCTGGGATAGAACCAGCGCCCATATGGGATCCCGGGCGTGCAAGGCGAGGACCTTAACCACTTGCGCCACCGCGCTGGGCCCTAAGCTCTAAACTCTTAAACCAGAGGCCTGCTTGTTCTTTTTGTCCTTCACCTGTACTTTCATCATCAGAAGGAAAGACCTGTTCCCATAGGAATGTCTTCAGATTGCATATTAGAAAAATGCTTCTCGCTGACTTACTCCCTGAGGTTAAACTGATCATTCGAAAAGCCTCCTTCCCTTAGGTTGTGGTTAAAATGCTCTTATTTAAGTTTACCAGGCTGATGTAGAGTGGAACATTTTGCTATTTGGTTGTGTGTGGTTGGTTGCTGTTTATGATTACAAATTCTTTTTTTCTCTTTAAGACAGTGTTCAGCAATATGCACAACCAGTGCTTAGAACTTGTTCTCTTTTCTATTTCTTTCTGATTGAGGTTAATCATAAAGAAAAGTTTAAGGAATCTGATACAGCATGTTAACTAGTTTATGTATGTGTCACTTATAATTTTAACACACATTTTCTTGCTGGTTTTTGTTAAATGTCTTTTGGGGCATGAGGCATGATCTCCATTGTACTCCATTGCCTGGGACCTACCTGCTCATTGAATTCATGGAGTTACAGAAGCTTACCATGACACATTTGGGAAGCAATGGCATAGAGAGGCAGTTCCAGAAATGTATTGAGCTTAGTAAGAATTTTTCTGAAAAACAAACAAACAAAAAACCAGGAAACTTAAAAAAAATTAAATGTGATAAGTGTATTGAATGCTTTCATGTTTCTGCTTTTAGTTATGTATAGATGTTCCTCTAGTAATGACTAGGGTATATTCCTGATAAACCATCAGAAGTTGAAGGTATCTTAAGTTAGAAATACACTTAACACGCACAACCTACCAAACATAGGTTAGCAACATGCGATATATTTTAGAGCTTAACCATCTATTCTTGTGATCTGTGGCTGGCTGGGAGCAGTGGCTTGTTGCTGCATCACAGGAAGGTCCCCAAAGAAAGATCAAAATTCAAGTTATGGTTTTATTAAGTATATTGATTTTTGAACTGTTCTTAAAAAACACAGACAAACACACAAACAAAAAACACCAAGTTGAACCCACCTAATTCAGGGACTTTCTGTATTTCGTTTGTCTTACTTTGGGCAAATGAACTCCCACAGGCAGAATCCTTTGAATGTTGATTACCCCATCAAGTCTAGGTGCGGTTATGAATTTCCAACTGTAATAAGCATCCAGTGGCTGTTATCTGCAGGAGATGCATTTGGGTAGCACAAGTTACTTTCCTGTCTGTGCTTATATATCTAAGCAACAGCCAGTGCTCAAACAGCAGCTGGACTTCAGGGACTGAAAAAAAATCTCATGGTTGGAATGAACAAGTACATTTTACATTAGTTCTAGTTACCATGGTTAAACATGTTAAACAGTTAAACATATTACAATCTAGATCTGTTAAGATTTTCATGTAGGGTTCTGTGGTATGAATTGACAAGAACAAGAAAGTATACTTAATTTGTATTTGTGTACTAACATGCTTGCTATGTTGTTTTATTTTAAATTTATAGTAATATAAATGTAGTCTTATTTGTTTTAAATTATTTAAAACTTTATGCTTCAATTATAAATATTAAGTATTAGTAGGTTTTCATAAGCACTGATTTTTATAAAGGAGCAAGATAACTCCTTTTAATTGGAAGGCTTTGATTCTTAAATATATTTTCAGTTAATTTATGTTGGATGATGACATCTGGTGGCAGAGGCATAAATTGTAGTTCAGCTTTCTCAGGACCATGAAAGCCACCCTGGAAAGGGAAGATGAGTAAGACCGAATGCCTGGGACTTCTGAGTGAAATCTGAGATTTCCTCAAACCATTGAGTTCCTAGGGGACCAAAGGAAATCCCAACACAGAAGTGAGCACAAGGAGTCAAGAGGAGAGGAGTGATGAGAAAAGGCTGGCTATGAACAAAGATCTTCCACTCCATTTTGAAGATCTCCAGGTTAAAATATTTAGAGGGTAGTTTTCCATTTGATTTATTAGAAAGTTATCATCAATAAGGATAGTACTTTGTGGAAATCAGTCATTTTTGTTGTAACTCACCTGTTCAGATAATGAAGGTAGCTCTTGCTGCTTTGGGTTTTAATGATTTCAGAGGGGACATGGGCAGAGGTGTTCATCAGAAAGTGAGATCAATGTGTCCTTATTTGTGCTTCCTAAGAGCTTGTGACTATTTGTTGATAAAACACTTAATTAGCTCTGTGTGCTACACATTGATTAAGAGTTCTGCAAGTATTATTTTCACAACAGTCTTTAAGTAGGTATTATCACCATGTTTCTGACGAGAAAAATGAGGTAGAGAAAAGTTAAATAATTTACTCATGGATACTCAGCTAACAAATGAACATTGTACACATCTTCATATAGTCTTAATTATGTGTTTCTGTTAGGTATACTCATGGGAATAGAATTATTCTGTCACAGGATGTGTGTTTAGTTTTGGTGGATGATTTATCTTGTACAGTAATAACCTTTGATCTACCAGAACACTTCAGTTTCTGTTAATAATGTTCAAAAATATCTCCTAAGATGAGATAAAATTCAGATGCTTATACCAATCCTGTAGGATAGTGTTGTGTATAAAATTTTGGTTTTTAGTTATTATGTTATTAATACTAGGTTTCTACTTTGTAGGAAAAAAATGACAATGTAAGACAGTACCCCACATAAAGAACAAGAGAATCAAAGATAAGCTATGTAGGGCAATATGCAGTAGCATATGGTTGTTACAGTGTGTTGTGGCATGACAAAGCTGGGCATGATTGAATTAGAACCTACCTCACAGAAGAGACTTTCAGAGGACGAGTCTTGATAAGTGAGTGCCATTGAGCTTGAAGGAGTAATGCCTCATGCTCAGTGCTATAGGAACGTGAGAAAGACTTGTTAGGTGTCTATATCAACCTGTCTAGGATGAAAATCTGAATTGGGGGTAATGGGAAGACAATTGGTTTTGGTTAGGATTTGGAAAAGTTTAAATGACATGCTAAAATGTTTCTGAAGGTCCAATGTGCAAATTAAATCTCGTTCCTTAATGATCTCTAAATTGTTTTGTTTTAGCTATCAAAATGTCAAAAGTTCTATGAAGTATACTGTCTTGTCTGCTTTTCCTGTGAGTCTGAATTCAATATGGGGCAAGGTGAAGGAGTTTTATTAAACACTAGAGAGAATGTGGTAACCTTGATAGAAGTGTTATAATTTAAAAAATAGATGTTTACAAACCAAACCAATGCTATTTTTGAAAAGAATTTGAGTTACTTTTCTTTAGGAGTGATAATGATAAAGCTTTTCTGTGAAATATGTGTTAAGTTGAGCCACTTCTGAGTCCTTTCTTCCCCTAAGATCTTATAGGAAAAGGTTTTTGAAGAATTACATTTCAAACACTTTTTCCCCCTGTTCCCTCTTAGTATCTTCGGATCATAAGAAACAAACATCCAATGAAGCCTCTGCTGAAAGTGAAAGAGACACATCAGAGAGAGCACAAAACTGGTCATTGCAAGATCATCATAGAGCATACTCACCCATGATATACCACGCCCTCTGCGAGCATGTGCAGACTCAAATGTCGCTGATGAATAATTCGACTGCAAAGAACAGCACAAATGGAATCCCTGCTGTACCCTGCCATACTGTGTCTGGTTCTGGTAAGTATGATTGATGTTTTTAAAAGCATGAACATAGGCTCTAGGTAAATTACTTGGTTATTCTATAAGCAGGATGAAACACAAATGATTCTTTTTCCCTTTCTTTTTAGAATCTCAAGCAACATCACAGTCTAATTATGGCTTATGTATCCCCACTCCTGTCTGGTCAGCTCAGCAGCCATCATGCCCTTCAATGGTTCATGCTGTAGGTACAGTTTGTTTTGTGTACGATACAAATAATAATTTGCTTGTAGAAAAGATCAGCTTAGGAGGGAATTTTGAATTTACTGACTGTCTCAGTGTACTAGAGTTTAAAGACCAATTATTTTTCAAGTTGTTGAGTTTTTTGTTTGTTTGTTTATTGTACTAGAAAAGTTTTAGCTACTTGTTAAGCATAATGAGGATAAGGGAAAGATATCAGTAGAAAAATGAATCATCCATATTTACCAACCAAACACATGTATAAGGCACTTTTCACACATTCGGTTCTCTGAGTGGGTTGTTTCCTACATTTAAGTTTGCTTCCTTCCCTTTTTTTCCCTTTCTTTATTAGTTTTTTTTTTGGAAAGACTTATAGAGAGAGAAGTAGAGGCACAAAGAGATCTGGTGGATCACTCCCTAGATGGCGTGGTGTTGTTTCCGTAATGTAGTGGTCATCATGCTCGCCTAACACTCCCTAGATGGCCTCAATGATTGGAGCTGGACCAGTCCAAAGTCAGGAGACTGGAATTTCTTCCAGGTCCACCGCATGGAACAAGGCTCAAGGCCTTGGGCCATCTTCCCCTGTTTCCCAGGTGGGTTAGCAGAGAACTGGATTGTAGGTGGAACAGCCAGGCCTTAGGTGGAGGCTTAATGTGCTTCACTACTGTGCCAGCTCCAAGATTTATTAATTTAAAGGTAGAGTTACAGGAGTGGAGGAGAAGGGAGAGAGAGGTCCTTCCATGTGCTGGTTCATTCTCTTGATGGCTTACACCAGCCGGGGTTGGGCCAGGCAGGAGCTAGGAGCTTCACCCAGGCCTCCTCGGGCCACCTCTCAGACACATTAATAGGGAGCTGACTCAGAAGTGGATGAGCTGGGAATCAGCAGCATTTTTTTTAATTTATTTTACTTTTATTGGAAAGATATATATCACAGAGAAGAGAGACAGAAAGATCTTCCATCCGCTGAGTCACTCCCCAAGTGGCTGTGATGGTTGGAGCTGTGCTATCTGAAGCCAGGAGCTTCTTCCAGCTCTCCCATGCAGGTGCAGGGTCCCCAGGCTTTGGGCCGACCTCGACTGCAATCCCGGCCACAAGCAAGGAGCTAGATGGGAAGCATGGCTGTCTGGATTAGAACTGGCACCCTTATGAGATCCTGGCACATTTAAGACGAGGACTTTAGCTGCTAGGCTTTGGCACTGGGCTCACAGCCCAAGCATTTGCAAAAGTGTATATGTTCACTTTAGTCCCAAAGTGCACCAGTTTTTCATGTATTATATGTATATTTTGTGGTATTTCTAAACATTCTGTTTTAGTCATGACTTTCCAGTGATCCTGGATTACAGAATTAGCTAATTAGGTTTCTTTAGACTTTTTTTATGATTTATTTTACGGGCCTAGTGTGATGGCTCAGTTGGCTATTTCTCCCCCTTGCAAGTGTTGGTTTGTGTCCCTGCTGCTTTACCTCTCAACCAGCTCCTTGCTTATGACCTGGGAAAGCAGTGGAGAATGGCCTAAAGCCTTGGGGCCCTGCATCCATGTGAGAGACTCAGAAGAAACTCCTGGCTCCTAGCTCCTGTTTTCGGATTGGCTTAGCTTCAGCCTGGCCATTGTGGCCACTTGGAGAGTGAACCAGTGGATGCAATATATTTGTCTTTCTATGAGGTTTATTTTAATTTTTATTAGAAAGGCAGAGTTACAGAAGAGGAAAGGCAATCTTTTATCTACTGGTTTACTTCCCCAAAAGCCGCAATGATTGGAGCCTGACCAGCCAAAGCCTGCAGCCAGGAATTTGTGGTCCTTTCATGTGGGTGGCAGAGACCCAAACACCTGGTCCATGTGCTGCTTTTCCATTAGCAGGGCACTAGATGGGAAGTGGACCAGTTGGGACAGGAACCTGTACCTGTATGCAATGCCATTGTCACGCGCAGCAGCTGTACCCACTGTGCCATAACACTGGCTCAGCTAATTAGCTTTTTTTGTTTGCTTGTTTAATTGGAAACTCAGATATTTAGAGAGGAAGACTTCTGCCCAATGATTCACTCCCCACATGGCTGCAACGGCCAGAGCTGAGCAGAGCCAAAGCCAGGAGCCAGGAACCTCCTCCTGGTCTCCCATGCAGATGTAGGATCGCACAGTTTTGGGCAATCCTGAACTGCTTTCCCAGGCCACAAGCAGGGAGTTGGATGGGAAGTGGGGCTGCCAGGATATGCACCGGCGCCCATGTTGCATCCTGGCATGTGCCAGGTGAGGACTTTCACCACTGGGCTACTACACTGGAGCCAGCTAATTAGTTTTTTTTTTTTTTAAAGATTTATTTTTATTATTTTTTCATTGGAAAGGCGGATATACAGAGAGGAGAGACAGAGAGGAAGATCTTCCGTCCGATGATTCACTCCCCAAGTGAGCGCAACGGGCCGATACTATGCCAATCCGAAGCCAGGAGCCTCTTCCGGGTCTCCCACGCGGGTGCAGGTTCCCAAAGCCTTGGGCCGTCCTCGACTGCTTTCCCGGGCCACAGGCAGGGAGCTGGAAGGGAAGCGGGGCTGCTGGGATTAGAACCGGCGCCCATATGGGATCCCGGGCATGCAAGGCGAGGACCTTTAACCACTTGCGCCACTGCGCCGGGCCCTAATTAGTTTTTTTAAAAGATTTATTTTTATTATTTTTTTTATTGGAAAGGCGGATATACAGAGAGGAGAGACAGAGAGGAAGATCTTCCATCCGATGATTCACTCCCCAAGTGAGCCCAATGGGCCGATACTATGCCGATCCTAAGCCAGGACCCTCTTCCGGGTCTCCTACATGGGTGCAGGTTCCCAAAGCTTTGGGCTGTCCTCGACTGCTTTCCCGGGCCGTAGGCAGGGAGCTGGAAGGGAAGCGGGGCTGCTGGGATAGAACCAGTGCCCATATGGGTTCCTGGGCGTGCAAGGCGAGGACCTTAACCACTTAACGCCACTGTTCCGGGCCCAGATAATTAGTTTTTAAGAACTAGAATCTTGATTTAGCTAAGTACAGTTTTCTGATTTTTAATGTAAAAATGTTAGATAGTTATTTTCTAAGTATTGCTGATATTTGTGATTGGAATTTTTATAATTATTGCCTACAAGAACACTTATAAAATATGTTTTTTCTTTTCCTTTCTTTAGGAAGTTCAAACAGGTGGTGACAACCAGTTTGCATCACAAAGCAAAACAGTTTCTGTGAACCCTCCTGGCATTCCAGCTAATTCCGTCAACGCCAGTCCTGTGCTTCCCTGTGGTCTGCCTGGCACTGACAGATCAGCTCTTGCAGCATTTCAGCAGCTGGGCCTTACGAATGGGATACTGCTACAAAAAGGAGTTCCAAGGGAAGCAGACCTGCTAAAGTGCTTTCAAACATATATGTCTCTGTTCCAGTCTCCTAGAAAAGAAGCTCATGCAGACAACCAGACATCCCGAAGCTCCACTCGATCACAGCAAGCCTGCTCAGCAGCTAATGAAGACGGAGATGCCAGAACACAAATGGGAGAGGCCACCAGTGAGGGAAGGGACCTCAGTATCCATGTATCGGATGCGAAAATAATCAAGGATGTGCAGAAGGCCAAAAATGTGAACCGGACTGCTGAAAAAGTTAGAACTATAAAGTATTTGTTGGGAGAGCTGAAGGCCTTGCTAGCAGAACAAGGTGGGTGAGTACTTTCCTGTTATAACATGGTGTTCAATTGAAGTAGCAGTGTTGGCCTGGTGCAGTCACCTAGCAGCTCAAGTCCTTGTCTTGCACATGCCAGGATCCTAGATGGGCATCAATTCAGGTCCTGGCAGCCCCGCTTCCTGTGAAGCTCCTGCTTGTGGCCTGGGAAAGCAGTTGAGGACAGCCCAAAGCCTTGGGACCCTGCACCTGTGTGGGGGTCCCGGTAGAAGCTCTTGGCTTCAAATCGGCTCAGCTGTGTCTGTTGCAGCCCCTTGTAATGCAAGATCTTCCTTTCTATCCCTTCTCCTCTCTGTATATCTGAGTTTCCAATAAAAAATAAGTCTTGAAAGTAGCAGTGTCATATTAGTCACTCTGCAAGTTCAGAGTAAGTGATAGGAGTGCTTCCATAAAACTGTATCTTGATCTGAAAAAAAGTTATTCTGCCTGTTGTAGTTTTTGCTTTTTAGATATTGCTCCCTTCTTTTGTCCTTGAATTTGAAATATATTATGGATCTTGAAAGGATTTCTGAGAATTTGTGAAGAAAAAATTTTAGAGGTTAGAAAATTCCTGAAGACCATTATACTCCTTAAGTTAGTCTGATTTTCTGAAATAAGAAAATGCAGATTTCTTTAATAACTATTTAACAAATCTCAGTTTGAAAAGTAATACAAATTTCCTGTCCTTTTGAGTTTATTTTTGTGGATTTTTCACTTTTCTAAGATCTTGAAAATATTTTTGAACCAGATTCTGTTAATTTGTTTTCATTTAATATATATGTATAAATATATATAACTTAAGAAGGTACAATATAAGGCTTTCTCTTGGAATGAATTGCAGATTTGCCATCAACTTAATAAACACAGTAATTGGCTGTGGAAGCGCTGATTTAATACCTAACATTTGCAAACTGACAAAACAAATCTTTTTGAAAAAAATTTTTTGGTTCCTTCATTTACTTTTTCTTTTGTGATTTACCAAAAAAATCTTAAAACGCGACCCAGCACAATGGCTCAATTACTTAAATCCTCATGTTTACATGCACCAGGATCCTATATGGATGCCAGTTTGTGTCTCAGCTGCTCTGCTTCCCATCCAAATCCATGCTTATGGCCTGGGATAGATGCTTGTGGCAGTGGAAGATGGCCAAGGACCCTGCAGCTGCATGGGAGACCAGGAGGAGCTCCTGGCTCTGGCTTTGGATTGGCTTAATTCCAGTGGTTGCAGCCAGTTGGGGAGTGAACCAGCAAATGGAAGATCTTTCTCTCTTTACTCTCTGTAAATCTGCTTTTCCAATAAAAATAAATCTTTTTTTTTCTCCCCAGCAAATTTTTTAACTTTCTTTTTTTTTAATTTTTAAACTATTATTATTATTATTATTTATTACATTGAATCATGCGACACAGTTTTACAGGCACTGGGATTCCCCCCTCCCCTCCCCAAAACCCACTCCCCCCTCCCATAGTGGATTCTTCCATCTGTTGCATTACCACAGGTCAAATTCAGATGAGATTTTGTCCCTTGCAAGCATCTACAAAGCATAGAGTCCAGCATCTTATTGTGCAGATAAGTTCAGTGGTTTCATGGGGAGACAGTCTCTGGTCTGAAGGTACAGCCGAACCTATAGGAATATAGTTTCAATAAGCCAGAGATTTAGGGTATTAACATTGCTGTATTTTCATACCTTCGACTTATTAATGTAACCATTGCTTTAACCAGGTAACAGTAACATTAACACCTATCACTTTTGAAAGCTCACCCAGCACTGTGCTAAGTATTTTCAGTGCATTAATCCCTGTTGCAAAGCAATGAGGTACTATTATTGTTCTTATTTTACATATGAGGAAAATTTTTTTAAAATAGTATCTCATTTAATCCTCTCAGCAGCCTTATAAAGTATTATTATTTCCATTTGAAGAAACTCGGGTTTCAAAAGCTAAGCTGAAAAATTTTAGGTGATATTAGAATATACAAGTTTCAGACAAGAGTAATAATTTCAAAAGATCTGTTGTGCCAGATCTTGGAGAGACTATAGTTGATTAAAATGTATTATTTTTAAGTGCTCTCACTGTAAAAAAAAAAAAAAGAGGAAATATTTATATTAACTCTGCCATTCCACATTATGTAGATTCTTTTTAAAATATTTATTTATTTTTATTGGAAAAGCAGATCAGATTGATGGAGAAAAGGAAAGACAAAAAGATCTTCCATCCTCTTGTTCATTCCCTAAATGGCCGAAATGTTCAGAGCTGAGCCAATCCAAAGCCAGGAGCTAGGAGCCTCTCCCGGATCTCCCACGTGGGTGCAGGGTCCCACAGCTTTGGGCTGTCCTTGACTGCTTTCCCAGGCCATAAGCAGGGAGCGGATAGAAAGTGGAGCAGCTGGGACATTAGCTGACAGCCATACAAGGTGAGAATTTAGCTGTTGAGCCATTGTGCTGAGCCCCACATTGTATACATGTTTCAGAACAACATGTTAAACAAAACCAACCTATATATTCTTTTTGTATTATCAATTTAAAATTAACTTTTTAAAAAAAAGATGGATTTTTATTTGTTCTTCAGAGAGACAGGAAAGATAGAATCTTCAGACTGCTAGTTTCTCCCCGTAAGACCGAAAATGCGAGGACTGGACCAGGCTGAAGATAGGAGTTTTAAGTTTCTTCAGGTCTCCAATGTGGGTATAGGAGCCCAAGTACTTGGGTCATCTTGTATTGTTTTTCCAGGTGCATTAACAGGAAGCTGGATTAGAAGTGGAGCAGACAAGACTTGAACTGATGCCCATTTGGGATTTCTGTGTCACAGGTTGGATGGGTGTTGGGAGATAAAGATCTAATATCTACCTTCTACCTGTGTCTCTTTGCCGTCACTAGAATCATCCACTCTGCAGTTAATACCAAGTTACAACAAATGAGGTGTGCCTGCTTTTATTAAGTCTGTTTTATAGAATGTAGTGGCACCTTACTCCAGCAGACCCTCACTCACTATTTTACCAGATAAATCAACCTAAGTGAATATTTACTATGTCAAGATGAGTGTTTGTAAATGTTAATACTGTAATGAAGTGTGTCCTTTAGCAACCACAGGAACTCTGTAAATCCTTTGGTAATTGAACCAGGAGATACATGTAAGTAACTTTCCTGCTTGACTCTTCAATAGATAAAAAAAATCACTAATGTGATAATCCTGTGTTTAAGATTTATCTTTTGTTTACTGAATTGAATTTCTTTAGAATTTTTCTGAGTAAGCATATGTAGGCAACAGGAAAGAGGGAAATGAAATTTGTATAATAAATTCACAAGTAATTGAGTTTATTTATAGTAAGTACGTACATATCTAAAATTTTTTTAGTAATATGTACTAATAATCTTGTCCAAAGCCAATACATAATGTCAGTTTTACTAATCTCTGCCTTTTTTAGAGGATTCAGAAATTGAAAGGCTGATTACAGAAGTGGAAGCATGTGTATCTGAGCTCCCAGCTATAAGTGGAAGCACAAATATTCAAGTTGAAATAGCACTGGCTATGCAGCCATTACGAAGTGAAAACACTCACTTACGAAGGTAAAAGCTGTTTTTGAGTATTTTTGTCTCTTTCTAAAGATGCCCTATAGCCAGAAGAAGTTACTAAATGAGGTACCTAGGACTCAGTAGATTTGCCCAGTTTTCAGAATGTCTAGCATTCCCTACCTGTTTTCCTTCTGCCAACTAGTACATCTTCTTTCCTAGCCTTTTGCCTCTTAACATCAGGTTGGCGCTGTGTAGAGAGGAAGATGAAATATCTCAATGTCTTTATCAGGGTAAGCTAGATCATGCTACAGAAACAAACTTAAAAATCTCAGTGACATAACCTAGTAAAAGTTTTTTTTTCCTTCATACTAAAACCACCATGGTTCATGGCAGATTGTATCTCATCTTGTTACTCAAGATCTAGGCTCCCACCATCTTAGGAAACCCGTCTCTATATTATGTTCCCCAAAATATATCAATGAGGCCTCTTTACATTCCCCTGCCTAAAAGCGACCATCTCGCTGCCATGTATATATTTCAAAGGCTAGAACAAGGCATGCCCGCTCTACCTATGTGAAAGTGTCGCAAGGAAAGGAGCACCTTATGTGACAGCACAACACTACCACATTTAGACGTAAGAGGAAAAAAAAAACTTCATTTTATCTTATTTTGATAGAGTCATTTATTTTTTAAGTTTTTATTCCTTTTAATTGATTTGAAAGGTAGGTAGACAGAGTTGTTTCCCACCTGCTGGTTCACTCCCCAAATGGCTGCAGTAGCCTGGCTGACCCATGCTGACTGATTCCAGGAGCTAAAAACCCCAGGTGGTTTTCCTACACGGTCTAAGGAGGCCCCAAGCACTTGCATCCCAGGTACATGATCAGGAAGCTGGAGCAGAAGCTGAGCAGCCAGGATTTGAAATGGCACTTCAATATGAGATGACAGTCTTGCAGATAGCAGCTTAATCTGTTACAACACAGCCTGCTCCTGGAATCATATGCTTACTTTTATTTTTAAGATTTATTTATTTTTATTGGAAAGGCAGATATACAGAGAGGAGGAGAGACAGAGAGAAAGATCTTCTATACACTGATTCACTCCCCAAGCGTCTGCAACAGAGCTGAGCTCAGCTGAGCTGATCTGAATCCAGGAGCCAGAAACTCCTGCTGGTCTCCCATATAGATGCAGACTCCCATGGCTTTGGGCTGTCCTCTACTACTTACCCTGGCCACAGGCAGGGAGCTAGAAGGGAGGTGCAGCAGCTGGGATACGAACCGGCTCCCACATGAAATCCTGGTGCATGCAAGGTGAGGACTTCAGCCGCTAGGCCACTGCGCTGGGCCCTAGATGTTGGACTTAAATCCTAGTAATTCTGTCTTTGTTCCTGACAAAGGTACTTCTAACTATTGATTTTCAAAACCAAGAATAAAGAATAATGAGAATGACCAGCAATACCACTAGCATCTATTGAATGTTTGTTTTGTGCATGCATCTTTGTCTTTCCTTAACTCTCACAACAGCTCTTTGAAGTAGGTGTTATTTTTTTTCTCCTTTACAGATGAGCAAACCAAGACACAGAGATTGTATAACTTGTCCAAGGTCATTTATCTAAGATGTGGCAGTCAAAACCCAGACCCAAGAAATTTCAGTTTAGAATGTAATAATCCTAACTAGTACAGTTCTACATTGTGTATTTTTAAAGTACAGACTTATATATATATAAGTCTTACTTAACTTACTAACTTTTTTTACTTAGGTATGTATTGTGGAACAAAAAGAAAATGCTGTTATCTCTTAGGAATAAACAAAGTATCTAAAGGAATGACAAGTAAATAATTGGTTTCTGAAGCCTATTAGAACTTCCTTCCGAGTGTCACCATGGAAATGTTCTTACTTTATTTCCCTTCCTTGGAAGTTTTAGAATTGCCTTAGGAGTTAATTTATAAGTCATTCAAGAAAATGAGAGGTACGGTTTTATTGGTCACTACCTGTATTTAATTTTTTGAAAGGTTAATTAGTTTGATCTCCAGTTCTTCAGACTTGGCAGCAGAGCTTTTAACTGTTTGTCCTTCAGGGACAATGTTATGTAGCATGTTATTTGCTCTTGTTGTTTACTTGACCGTCTGAAAGAAGTAAATGAAAAATGAAGAATTTTCAGATATGTTCTTGGTAGCAGAAGTTCTGAAATATTGTGCCATTTGATAATCTATATTTGGAAAGAATCTTCCATTAAAATACTAATTGGGGCCTGGCACAATAGCCCAGTGGCTAAAGTCCTCACCTTGCATGCACCAGGATCTTATGTGGACGCTGCTTCATGTCCTGGCTGCTCTGCTCCCCTTCCAGCTGCCTGCTCGTGGCCTGGGAAAGCAGTTGGAGACCTGCAGGAGGTACCTGGTCCCTGGCTTCAGATTGGCTTAGTTCTAGCCACCGTGGCCACTTGGGGAGTGAATCAGCAGATAGGAGAGCTTTAAATAATAATAAATAAATTAAAATAGCACTTGACATGCAAAGGCTCATTCAAATGAGTTTTTAGTCATTTTCAATCAAATTTCTTTTCCTGTTTTTAGCTTGGAAATTATATGTTTCTTTTTACCTGGGAAAAAAAATGATCTGTCAGTTCTTTAAAGTTTATTGCCACCTTGTGGCTTAAAAAATTAGGTTGGTAGATTTCTGTGGAATCTTGGCATTTTGATTAGACATTTTTTGTATAAGACTGTTTTTTTTTAAGATTTATTTATTTTTATTATAAAATCAGATATATAGAGGAGGAGAGACAGAGAGGAAGGTCTTCGTTCATTGATTTACTGCCCAAGTGACTGCAACAGCCAGTGCTGCGCCAATCCGAAGCCAGGAGCCAGGAACTTCTCTCTGGGTCTCCCTCATGGGTGCAGGGTCCCAAGGCTTTGAGTAATTCTTGACTGTTTTCCCAGGCCACAAGCAGGGAGCTGGATGGGAAGTGGGGCTGCTGGGATTAGAACCAGCACCCATATGGGATCCCGGGATGTTCAAGGTGAGGACTTTAGCCGCTAGACTACTGAGCTGGACCTAGGAAATAACTTTTAAAGCAAAAATCAGGAAGAGGAGCGTGTGAAAGAAAGCTGAGAAGGAATAATAAGGAAAGTAGCAGGAAGATTGAGAGTGATACAAAAAAGCCATGGGAAGAAAAATTGCAGGAAAGATTTTTGCAAAAAAAAAAAATTTTAAGGAACCAACAATTGAGACAAAAGCAGATCAAGAATTAACATTACTGACCTGGTATGTTAGCCTAGTGGTTAAAGTCCTTGCCAGCACCGGGATCCCATATGGGTGCCTGTTTGTGTCCTCGCGGCCATGCTTCCCTTCCAGCTCCCTGCTTGTGACTTTGGAGGGCAGTTGAGAACAGCCCAAAGTCTTGGGACCCAGCACCTATGAAGGAGACCTGCAGGAAGCTCCTGGATCCTTGCTGTGGATCTGTTCAGCTCTGGCTGTTGTAGTTACTTGCGGAGTAAATCAGTGGACAGAAGATCTTCCTTTCTTTTTTTAAAGAAAAGAAAAAGAATAAACATGAGGAAGACAAATCACCCAAAGAAACATGGGGTCAAGGATGTTCTGCTTCACTAGAACATAAGCAATATGAGGATTGATTTTATTCTCATTTTTTCCTAAAATTTTCCATTTTAATTGCTACATAAATTCACAGTTCACTGTTTCCTAGCAGTCTTAGTTTTTCTCTTATAAATCCTTTGTAAAAATTTTATTTAAGTAGCAGAGCATATGTATAGATATGTGTATGTGTGTTTATGTAATTTCTTTTTAACCAGTTGTAGGTGTACATTTCAGGTAATAGGTACAATGCTGTGTACATATTACCACTATTTTTGCCCCCAAATTTTTATTCTTAACATAAATTCTGTAGTCACTACATCTTAGTTCCCCCATCTCTCTTTCCTCATCTTTTGGTGAAGTATTCTTCCTACTTGTACGAATTTGAGAATTTGTGTTTCTCTAATTGGCTGCTGTATTTTAAGTATTGAAAATTATGCCTGGTACTCTAGTGTTTGTTAAATGACTGAATGTACAATGGATAAGCTGGAAAACATAAAACAAAATGGAAAAAGAATGAAAAAACTATAAATAAGATTAAACGTGAAAAAGAAACAAGATAAAAATTGGCAAATTTTGTTTTTCTGGAAAATGAAAACAGTGAATTAATTACAGACAGTACTATATAAATACTGAAGGGCAGCCACTGAGGCACCACATGGGACCTCTGCATCCCCTGTTCAGGTGCCTGCTCAAGTCTTGTTCTCCTTCTGATCTGACTTTGTCCTCGTGTAGACTCTGGAAATGCAGCAGATTATGGCTCGAGTAGTTGGGTCCTTGTTACCAGTGTGAGAGACCAGCCCAGTGCTTGCCTTTTCAGGGATTTGAGAGTGAACCATCAAATGGAAACATTTCCACATCCCCACCCCCCACATACGCCTCTGCTTCTCTGCTCTTTATATCAACAGATCAGGAGCACATAAAAGAACCCAGAAAAGCTATACAACATGACCAAAGTTAAGACATAATACTGATAAAGTTTTGTTGTTAAGGACAAAAAATTAAATTATAGACATACAGGAAAAAAGCAAATCATGAATAAAGAGGAAATGATAAAGTTGACCTCAGTTTTTTCACAGGGATATTTATTATTCATTTATAAAGTTCTAGGGAAATAAAAATATGCTCCAAGAACGGCTTAGCTGTCCTCTTACTGTCTGGGCAGCAGTCTTGAGTATACATCAGTTTACTAAACAGAGGACCTTTAGACTCTGTAAGATCAAGACAAAACACTATTGAATGGCAGCCTGGAAAACTAAGAGATAAATCCCCGAGAAGTAGATTAGAGATGAATGTTGAACCTATGTATAAATTAAGAAAACTGTAGAACTTACAGTTATAGAGTAGAATATGTTAGTAACAAGAATAGCATAAATTCCAAACTGAAAATTTTTTGTATCTTTAGTTTTAGCTTATTTAGGAGTGATATATCCCACAGTAAAGATGTTTGTATAAAAATTTATCACATCTGGTTTCACTTGTTATTTTTCACAAAAATTGAAATCATATAATCCTAAATTCAGTACATTAGATTTTTAAACAGTGCTTGTAATGTCATCCCATATTTTAAAACTGTTGAGCTATTTGGGGAGCAGGTTTCTTTTTCTCTTTATAGGGGATAGAAAATATATAAAGGTTACCTTGTGAAAAATGATTATTATTCCAATTCGACATTATGCTACAAGTTTTAACCAGTGCAAAGGGACAAGAAAGGCCAACACCAGCTGCATTGCAAAGGAAAGAGCTAAAAACTGCCTTATTTACTGGTAACGTCATCGTCTTTTTAGAAAACTATGTGGGGGTGGGAGAGTTGGGGAGTATTATGTTGGGATAGTGGGTGAAGCTGCTGCCTGCAGTACCAAAATGAAGCAGTGGCCAACAGTCTGAGAGAAAATATTTGTAAACCATGCATCTGATAAATAACTGATGTCTACATTGTATTAAGAACTATTACAACTGAATAATAAGTACCATATTTTAAAACATTCAATTTAAAAATGGGTCAATATTTGAACAGAGGCTTCATTTAAAAAGATGTGTCAACATCAAGTAAGAACATGAGAAAAAGTTTGTCATTTTTCTTTAAGAAAACACAAAGCCATGGTGAGGTACCACTGCATGCTTATTAACTGGCTACAATAAAAATCTATACCAGTTATTAATGAGAATGTGGAAGAACTGGATGTTTCACATTCTGCCCTTGGTAATATGATATGCTGTTACTTACTTGGGGAAAAAAATTCAACATAGAGAACAAACCAGAAAAACCCCACATATTAACCATATCATATGATCCAGCTGTTGCATTCCGAGGTATTTGCTCAAGAGTCAAGTGCATAACCACACAAAATGTGTTCTTGAATGTTTAAATGAAATATCCCAAAATGTCTGTCAACAAATAAGCAAAATGATGGTGTATCTATAGAATCCTACTTGGCAATAAAAAGCAATAATGGATGCCTTTATTCTTTTTTTTTTTTTAAAGATTTATTTATTTATTTATTTTTATTGGAAAGGCAGGTATACAAAGAGGAGAGACAGAGAGGAAAGATCTTCCATCCCATGATTCACTCCCCAAGTGAGCGCAACGGCCGATACTATGCCTATCCGAAGCCAGGAGCCTCTTCCAGGTCTCCCATGTGGGTGCAGGGTCCCAAAGCTTTGGGCCGTCCTCAACCGCTTTCCCAGGCCACAGGCAGGGAGCTGGAAGGGAAGCGGGGCTGCTGGGATAGAACCGGTGCCCATATGGGATCCCGGGTGTGCAAGGCGAGGACCTTAACCACTTGCGCCACTGCTCCGGGCCCTGCCTTTATTCTTTATTATGTTAATTTACATCTGTGGGACCTCTTTAAATGTTACTGTATGTGTAGTGTGTGTTTCCTTTCCAAGATGTTAATCCTGGAACACATTTCAACTTTTGATAGACATTAAGTCCTTCATTCTTTCCCTTGATGGCCAATGGATTTTGGGTCTTGTGTGCAGATGCCTTCCTTACTTCAAGTTCATTTAGATGTCTCCTTAAAGCATTTAGTTGGATTTTATTTGTATATTTTGTGTTTAATTCTTATTTTGTTTTTACTTATTTGAAAGAGTTAGAGTTTATTTATTTATTTTTCTAATTTATTTGAAAGGTGAGGGAGAAAGAGAGATCTTCCATTTGTTGGTTAACTCCCAAAATGGCTGCAACAGTCAGGGCTGTCCCAGGCCAATGCCAGGAGACAGGTGATTCTTCTGTGTCTCCCATGTAGGAGCAGGGGCCCAAACGCTTTTGCTAACTTCTGCTGCTTTCTTAGGCGCATTATCATGGTAATGGGCCAGAAATGGAACAGCTAGGACTCAAACTGGTATCCATATGTGTGGTGGGCACTGCAGGCTATGCCACAGTGCTGGCCACTGTTAAATACTTTAATTCACCCAGATGCAATACATGTGAATAATTTGAGATAAAATATCTATATTTTAGATTTAGTAACAAAAAGAAGCATTTCAGTTCAGAATGTTTTCACGTAAATAATTCTGGGAAAATAATAGAGGTGAATTTCTTTCTCTGAACAAAAGTGTATTAAAAGTGGGAAATACCACTGCTTTACATAATGTATAATAGAGATTCATAATACAGAATTTAAATAGCATTTTGCCCATTTGTATGAATTCTAGAAATCTAAATTCTTTAGGATCTAATGTCTTGTGATGTGTTTGGTGTAAATTACTTGATCCTTTTATGGGTAAATAAGAATATGCGTATATTCTCATAAATGAACTATATAATGAAGATTAGCATATGGGGAAGTGAAGATACACTGCAGTGTGTATCTCTACTTCAGAATTAATGGAGGACTCCCAGTGAAACAATTCAGTATACCTTGACAATACGATGCTGGTTTTTCTACCTTTGCTTATACCTACAATGTCATGGTGCACTTAAGTAGCAGAATGTTGAACTTGTAACTGTTACTAAAGGACTATAGTACTGTAATAATATGGGGGAAATGATAGGGAAAAATGAGGAGAGAGGGTGGAGGGAGTAGGGGAATCCTTATACTTATAAAACTGTGTCAAGGAAAGTAATAAAAATTTTAAGAAAAAAATTCTTTTATACATGTTTGTGAAGCTGTTATATTTTATGAAGTTCATTGTGGAGGGGAATTGTTGCTTATTAATAATCTCATTTCAGTAAAGCCATTAACTTACATCGAGTAAGGAAGTTATTAAAAGCATAGATTTGTGTTTCATAGTTTTTTCATAAGTGACTAATATCTGATAGTAATTTGTACCTGTATGTGTTATACTTAGTAATGATATGTTTTTTAAGAAATGATGAAGATACTGAGAAGGAAGTGAGAATATGAAAATAGCAAGGGGAGATAGGAAAAAACAAGAGATAAAACAAAAGGTAAAAGGATAAGTTAATCTCTTTAGTGAAGGGGGATTTTGTGTTATACCAACTAATATGAAGCATTCCTTCAGGCTACTAGTAGCAGTGGTCTGGCTTCATTTTTTTGTTCATTTTTGTTCTTTGTTGGAACAAGAGATGGACTTTCATTGTTTTTATTTTGTTGATTGATATACTGTCAAGACATATACTGCTAAATGCGTTGGGATTCTTGCATTCATAATTCATAATTCTTGCAGTAGCCAGTGTGTATATATATATTTTTTTTAAATTTATTTTTAGGCAAGTAAGAATTTTGAACCAGAGACTTAGAGAACAAGAAAAAACACAAAAGGCAACTGGTGCTGTGGATTGCAACGTTGAATGTAGGTAAAAACATTTTTAGAGGTTGATGTTTAAATTCTTTGTGGCTCTGGAAATGTTGATAAACAATCAACCTTTTTTAATTACTGTGTTTAAGTGGATTTTCTTTAAATTAAAAATAAAACTAAGACTCTATTAAAATTTAAAATGGTGCAGAAACAAAAATAAAAGATCTATGCTATCATTTCCTAAGAACACACTGATTTTTTAAAACAGAGCTTTTTTTCTTTTTACATATCTTCTGTTTGTACATATCAAATGGACATAGTTGATTATTTCATGAACATCAACTTTATATATACCATGTACAAGGACAGATAACTATATGAAACACTCTGTTACTTTTTTTCTCTTTTTATATATTGACCGCCTTTTAAAAAAAATAAGGTTTTATGTATCAATGTGTCTTAAAGACTTTTTTCTGAAAACTATAATGAGAAGTTTAATTTGCAAATACATTTTTTAAATCGGTGCATGATTTTTTTTCATAATGTGGCTTTTTCATGAACTTTATACATTTTTAGGTTTATTTCACTTACAGGCAATGAGACAGAAACAAAGGCAGAGCTTCCATCTGCCATGGCTAGGGCTGGATTAGAACCTAAGGCAAGAGCCTGGATCTTAGAACTCAGTCCAGGCTTCCTACACGATGGCCTTGCCCAACTCTTTGAGCTATCATCTGTCGACCTGCTGTCTCCCAGAGTTTTTGTTGGCGGAAGCTAGACTCTTGGAGCTAGAGTCAGGCCTCACAGTTTGTTATGGTATTTGAGCCTCCCAAGCAGGTCTTTGTCCCCCCTCCCCACTCCCCAGATTTCTTTATTGACTTGAAAAGCAGAATGACAGGAAGATTTCTCTTCTATCCACTGAGTCCTTCTCCAGATGCTTACAGTAGTCAGGGCTAACCCCATCTGAGTCTTCCACAGCAGCAAGTACACAAGTATTTTATCATCATCTTCTGTTTGTCCAGGTGAAATAGCAGGAAGCAGGATTGGTACTGCAATAGCCAGGACTTGAACTAATCCTTCAACATAGGATATAGGCTTCCCAAGTAGTAGCTTAACACCTGTGCTCACCAGCAGTATTTAAATGTTTAGGCTAAAAATCTGCCTTGCATGAACATTTGCAAGACCTCACAGCTTACATTTATCTATATAACATTTGGTAGATATTTTTCTCTAACAGAACGCTTAAATACATTTCTTTCTCTTTAATAGGCACTTTGGTATTCTGCTTATGTAGCTCTACCATAATATATTTAAGGTCATCTACTGATTGATGTCAGGATGTTTTAGCCTTTTTACCCAGTGAAAACAATGCAGTGAACTTCCTAGTACTCATGTCTTTATGCGCTTGCAAGTATGTAAGCATTTTTGGTGGATTGGTAGCAGTGGATTGCTGAAGCAACAAGTATATACAGTTACAGTTCTAATAGATATCAACAAACTGAGGACAATTGTAATATATTAAATGACAACCCAAGGACAGTTTTCTTCCTCTATATCTTTTACAAAACAGTAAGAAAAATATGAATACTCAGCATAACGTGCACTTTATAAAATATTCTCCTTGTACCATAATACTTTCTGAAGAGGTGATCTCTGGTCCTACTGTGAATGAAACTTGGTTGCAGGATCTCCAGTGAGAGAGAGGAGGCCAGTAGAGGAAGTGGGGAGATCACTGGATTCCACTTTAAGTAGCATCTCTCTCTGCATTCTTTTACTGTTTCTTTTTTGCTTGTCTATTTTGCTGTTCATTTGAAAGCATTTATTATTACAATTTATGAAAGTGCTTGTTTGATATTGGCTCGATGAGAGCAGGGATGATATCTGTTGTTTGCTGCTGTTCACTAGATTGTTAACACAGTGCCTCACACACGTGAGAAACATTCACCCAAGGCTGTGTTTGCTCAATGACTGATGACATGGCTTTTACAGCCTCGAAAAAGAATATGATACAATCCATGACAGATTTAGTCTCCTAGAGACTGTCGTATGATTCCTTTATTGTAAATATTTATCTATTTATAAGACTTTAATGTGGCAATACCTTCTGGAAAGATGCCATAGTTAACAGTGATTGCTTCCTGTGGGAGACTAGATCTTGGGAGAGGAAGACATTCAATAAGAATCATTTGATATCATAGATACTTTGTGGTATTTCAATGTAGAAATCTTTCATTTAAACATATGAAGGTAATATAATACTCAGAATATCAATTGGAGAAGGTCAGTATGTCTTCTACCAGCCAGTTTTTAAAAAATATGTTTAGTAATATAGAAATGCTCATACATATAACTTCAGCAAGATGAATGTATTCCAGACCTTTCTCTAACAAAAAAATCTTTCAGGTCTGTACTTACTAATTTTGGGGAAAAACTTTTATCTTTTTTTTGTCTTACAGTGTTTTCTCTTCAGTCATTGAATATTTCCCTGCAAAATCAATTACAGGAATCATTGAAGAACCAGGAATTACTACAGAATAAAAATGAAGAGCTCTTAAAAGTGATTGAAAACCAGAAAGATGAAAACAAAAAATACACTAGTATATTTAAAGACAAAGATCAAACTATACTTGAAAATAAACAGCAGTTTGATATTGAGATAACAAAAATAAAAATTGGTATGCATTTAAACTGTAGCTATGGCCACATTTTTTAGAAAGAATAGAAAACTGATTTTTTTTGTTGTTATTTTAGAACTAGAGGAAGCCCTAGTCGATGTGAAAAGCTCCCGGTTTAAGTTAGAAGCTGCTGAAAAAGAAAATCAAATACTGGGAATAACATTACGCCAGCGTGATGCTGAAGTGACTCGGCTGAGAGAGTTAACCAGGTAAGTTAGTTGACTTCTTTTGAATATCTTCTGTGCCTTTTTCTGTATGACTTAGAAACCCCAAGATAATGTCAGACCTACCTTTATCCTGTATTTTTCCCCTTATTTTGTCAGTGCTTTCACTAATTTCAAACAGTGGTTTTTTTCTGTTGCAGTTGAGTTTAGCAGTTCCTGACATATCTAAGTGCTTTTTTAAAGCATGTGATTCCAGGCAAAAGGTTTTAATGAGAAGCTTGAACTTTAGTCAGATGGTTAAGGTCTCTGGCTTTGAAGCCATAGAGGCTCAAATGGAATCACAGTTCTGCAACCAAGAAGCTTCTGTACCACACAGAAAACTGTCAATAAAGTGAAGAGACAACCAACAGAGTGGGAGAAAATCTTTGCACACTACACAACAGATAGGAGAATAATATGCAGAATTTGCAAAGAACTTCAGAAACCCCAAAACAGCAAAACAGACAAACTTGTTAAGAAATGGGCAAAGGAAGTGAGCAGGCATTTTTCAAAAGAACAAATTCAGATGGCTAATAGACATACAAAAGAATGCTCAGGCTTCCTATCTATCAAGGAAATACAAATAAAAATCACCCTCTTTTGGAAGAGTAACTTGGAGTTGAGAATTTTATTAATGGCAGGCATTTACTGTAATAGAAGCCAGTAACCAAAAGGTCACGTGTTATCATTTATATGATGTGTACAGAATAAACAAATCCATAGAGATGATAGAGTGTGGTTGCCAGGGACATAAATTGGGAGTGATGATCATGAGAATAGATCCTTTTTGAGATCCTGAAAACATTCTGGAATTAAACACTGGTGACCATCTTCTAACTCTATGAATATGCTAAAGCCCACCAATTGTGTACTTAAAGGAGGGCAATTTCATGGTATGTAACGCCCATCTCAAACTTCTTCAAGTATGTATGCTTTACAGTCCATTTAGAAGAGAAAAAGAGGGCAGCACAGCAGGTCAGAGATCAGACTGTGAGCAGTTGGTTAGACTACCTGCAAGCGTTTCCTTCCTCATCCTGAAGGCTTTTAGGCACAAGCAGAAAATGCAGGAAAAAAAGCAAAAAAGTGATAGGAGGCTCTAGTTCTCTACTAATTTTGTTTTCATAGTTTTTTCATTCTCTTTTTACTTGTCCTCCCTATGGAGGGAAGATTTTTCTTATTTGCATTGTCATTAATAGGAAAACTCCATACATGTGAAGTATCAGTACAAAATAGTCATGGATTGAAAGTAGAATTCACGCATTTCCTTTTCTCTTGCACATGTTATGGCTTTAGCTGAACTGGTTTATGCCTGGTAGTAACTCTATGTCTAATTTAATCTAAGTTAACATTTGCATTTTTTTTCACCTATTAGATGAATGAATAGATAGATCTGTTTACTTATTCATTTGTTCAACATCCATTTATTGGATATTATGTTGCAAACGAATATTTGTGAAGCCCACATGAAAATATTTAATCCTCTTAATTGCTAAATATTTATTTACATCAGTGAGAAGTGGCTCATTGTAGACTTTTACTGTGATGTATGTAAAAGATAATTTATATACGTTTTAAAATATTTTTGTTGCAAGCGCAGATTTTTTTTTAAAGATTTATTTTTTTTTTTTATTGGAAAGGCGAATATACAGAGAGGAGAGACAGAGAGGAAGATCTTCCATCCCATGATTCACTCCCCAAGTGAGCGCAACAGCCGATACTATGCCAATCCGAAGCCAGGAGCCTCTTCCAGGTCTCCCACATGGGTGCAGGGTCCCAAAGCTTTGGGCAGTCCTCGACTGCTTTCCCGAGCCACAGGCAGGGAGCTGGAGGGGAAGCGGGGCTGCCAGGATAGAACTGGCGCCCATATGGGATCCTGGGCGTGCAAGACGAGGACCTTAACCACTGCGCCACCGCGCCGGGCCCGCAAGGGCAGATTTACAGAGAGAAGGAGATATAGAAAGATCTTCCATTCACTGATTCACTCCCCAAGTGTCCACGACAGTTGGAGCTGAGCCAATCTGAAGCTAGAAGTCAGGAGCTTCTACTGGGTCTCCTGTGTGGTGCAGGGACCAAGGCTTTGGGACACTCTTTACTGCTTTCCCAGGTTAGAAGCAGGGAGATGGACGGGAAGTGGAGTGACTGGGACACAAACAGGTGCCTATCTGGGATCCTGGTGGCAGATGCAAGGCAATTTAGCCACTGATCCATCATACTGGGCCCAGGAGATACATTTTTAAGGATAAATTTGGTCTGGTATTATTGAACATGTGGAGTGCATTTACTAAATAAAGTTGGTAACAAAAACATAGGTGAGGCCAGCACTGTGGCACTTTTAAGTCAGGCTTTCATCTGTGGCACTTGCATTCTCCATGGACACTGGCTCATGTCCTGGCTGCTCCACATCCAATTCAGCTCCCTGCTTGTGGTTTGGGAAGGCTAGAGGAGGGCTTAAGTTCTTGGGCTTCTGCACCCATGTCAGAGACCCAGAAGAAGCTTCTGTCTTTGGATTGGCTTCAGCTTCAACCATTGCAGTCAATTAGGGAGTGAACCAGCAGATGGACTCTTTCTCTTTCTCTGTAAATCCTTTTTCTCAAAATCAAGTTTGTTTTTTGTGATTTGGTTTTGGTGTGTTCTTTTTGGAACGTTAGACATACAGAGACAGGAGAGAACAGAGAGAAAGATCCTCTGTCCATTGATTCATTTCCCAAGTGGCTGCATTGGCTTTACCTGTGCCAATCTGAAGCCAGGAGCCCAGAGCCTCCTCTGGATCTCCCATGAAGGTGCAATTTCCCAAGGCTTTGGGCCATCATCCTTCACTGCTTTCACAGGCCACAAACAGGGAGCATGAATGGGAAGCAGGGCTGCTGGAATTAGAACTGGCACCCATATGGGATCCCAGTGCATGTAAGTCTAAGTTGAGGACTTTAGCCACTAAGCTACTACACCAGGCCCCCCCCCTTTTTTTTTCCTTAATAATGTTCCAGAATAAGTAAACAATATAGTTGTTCTAGAGGTTAGTATAAATGAAAACCCAAAGAAATAAAGGAAGTTACTTGACTTTCACAGCTAGTTAGTACCTTTGCTGGGATTTGAGCTAGAATTTGAGATTCTTTCAGCTTTGCTTCTTTTGTATGTATGAGTTTTAAGATTTTACTTACTTATCCAGAAGTCAGTTACAGCGGGAAAGGGAGGTCTTCGTGCAGTGCTTCATTCTATAAGAGACTGCATCGGCCAGGGCTCGGCCAGGAACTCCATCCAGGTCTCTGAGCTAGTGCTTGAGCTTCTGTCCCTGCTATTCCCCAGCCATTGGCAGGGAGTTGGATCAGAAGTAGAGTAAGTGGGACACAAAACATGTTCACATGGAATTCTGTCATTCCTTGTGGGCTTTGCCTGCTATACTGCAGTGCCAGCTCTGCTTTTTCATTAAAAAGAATAGCTTTTATGGGCCCAGTGGCATGGCCTAGCAGCTAAAATCCTTGCCTTGAATGCGCCCTGGATTCCCATATGGGCGCCGGTTCTAATCCCGGCAGCTCCACTTCCCATCCAGCTCCCTGCTTGTGGCCTGGGAAAGCAGTCGAGGACGGCCCAAAGCTTTGGGACCCTGCACCCGTGTGGGAGACCTGGAGGAGGTTCCTGGCTCCTGGCTTCGGATCGGCATAGCATCGGCCGTTGCACTCACTTGGGGAGTGAAACATCGAACGGAAGATCTTCCTCTCTGTCTCTCCTCCTCTCAGTATCTCTGACTTTCCAATAAATAAATAAATCTTAAAAAAAAAAAAAAGAATAGCTTTTCTGTGAGTAAAGATGACCCATTATTAAGGAATTGCACCACTCAAGCAGATATATTTTTTAAAAGGTTTTTATGTCGTTTTTTTTGAAATAGAGATTTACAGAGAGGAGAAACATGGAGTCAGAGATCTTTCATTCACAGGTTCACTCCCCAAATGACCACAATGGCCAGAACTGAGCTAATCCCGAAGCTAGGAGCCAGGATTTTTCTGGGTCTGCAACATGGATATAGGAACCCCAGGACCTGAGCCATCCTCTACTGCCTTCCCAGGCTATAAACAGGGAGCTGGAATAGAAGTGGAGCAATTGGTACTGCACCCTTTTGGAATGTCAACACTGCAAGTTGTGGAATTAGCCTGTTGAGCCACTGTGCTGACCTTTTGTTCTATATGTAAGGATTCAGGTTTTCGTCCAAGACTGAATAAGCCTCAGGCAGAGCTCCAAGGTTCCGTGGGGTTGCCACTCAGCCATTCATGCCTGGCAGGGCCAAATGATGCATCCTTACCTTCTGGCCAGGAGAAATCTTACCAGCGCTAAGGCTGAGTTTGATTACTGCTCACCCACTAAGGCATGGGGCCAGGTACTATCTATCTTCTGCAGATACTGGCAAATGTCTTTTTACCTCTTGACAAAAAAAAAATTGTTAACGTATAATCTTTTATATGTTTATACAATATAATATGATAATTCAATGTATATATACAACATGTAATGATCAACATCATAATAATTAGCATTTTCATATTCAGCATTTATCATTTCATTGTGTTGGGACTTTCAACCTCGGTAGATCATTATAAACTATATGTCACCCTATTATGCTGTAGAACTTAGACCTCATTTCTCTTTTTAACTGTAGTATGATATTTGTTATTTAGCCTCTTTCCTAACCTCTAGTGACCACCGTTCTAAGTCATCAGCTTGTTTAAGCTTCTGCCTATGACCTAAAACATAGGGTTTTTGTCTTTCTGTGCATAGTTGTTCACTTAATATGATATCCTTCAGAGCCCTCCTTTTTATTGTAAATGACAGGATCTCATTTTTTTTGAAATAATAAAATTCAGTTTAAAAATGATGGACTGAATAATCGTTCATTTTATATGCATACACAAACATGCACATATTTATATGTACCGCATTAGCTTTATCCATTTATTTGCCCACAGTGTATTTTGATAGTTGTGAATTGTACTGCAATAAACATGGGAATGCAGGTATCTCTGACATTGATTTCATCACACTGTTGGGTATATACCTAAGAGTGGAGTAGCTGAGTCATGTAGTCTGATTTTAGATTCTGAAGAATCCACCATACTGTTTTCTATTTTCTATAATTGCTGTGCTTACTTGCATTGCAACCAGCAATACATAAGAGTTCCTTTTTCTCCAGGTCCTCACTAGCATTTTGTTATTCTGTGTCATTTTATAACTATTCTCCGGTGGATTATTTTAACTTGGGTAAGGTGAGACATGGCTCTTTTCTCTGGAAATGCTTGGACTTGAGTTTGTCCCCTGGCTTTTAGGAGCCTTAGGGGAGCAGTTACACTTCATGGAGAAACTGGTAGGGACTCACAGCTGGTAAACTGTTAACTGCTTCCTGCAGAGTGATGCTATTGACTGGTCTCTAACCAAGCAACTCCGTTTGCACCACTGTAGAGCTGCTGCCGAGGTCCATGGATGGTCAGTGGGAGCCCCAGTTCGCTTCTTGGTTTTCTAGGTAACCACAGGTGGGGTAGGCTTGCCGATCTTCCAGTTTTTCATGGATAGGAGATAGGAGTGGGCCTCATACGAAGCAGCTCAAGATGCTGCAGAAAGAAATGTCTACCTCCAGTTCTCTTTTCCCACTGTAGAGACTTGGGCCATGGGCAGTCCTCTGTGGAAGTGTACCAGCTCAAAGGAGGGATGGCTGTCCTTTTACTCCTCTGATGCAGCCTCTTTCAGTTCTGTGGTCCAGCTGTGTCCCAGCCTCATTCCTGAGTTCTGAGACATTGATGAAGATCATCTTGTCTGAGGATAGTTACCAGAGAGATTTTTGTGAAGCGGTTCAGAAGTGAGAAACTCATCATCAGCCACCTTGCTGACATTTTTCTTATTATTTTCCATGATTCTGTAACAGTGGCTTTATTCTTATTTTCTTATGTTAACTCAATAAAGAAAAAAAAAGTCATGTTTTCAAAATTGAAATTTATTTGATTAAAAGTTGCACTTTGGGGCCCAGCACCATGGTATAATAGGTTAAGCTGTCACCTATCGGTGAATGGGCTAATCGATCCCCTGAAGGCATCGGTTCAAGTCCCAACTGTTCTACTTTTGATCTAGCTTTCTGCTAATGTGCCTGGGAAAGCTCCAGGGAGTGACCTCGGTCTTTGGGCCCCTCACTTGCGTGAGACCTGGATGAGGCTCTTGTCTTCTGGCTCTGGCCTGGCCCCGTCCAGATCATTACAGCCTTTGAAAGTGAACTAGCAGATGAAACATTACTCTTCTTGCTTTCTCTCTTACTGTTACTCTGCCTTTGAAATAAAATTAAATCTTTTTTTAAAAAGCAGATGGTTTTAAACATTTCTGTAATTGCCTGTTGATCTCCCATGTATCTTTTTAAAATGTTGATGTTTATGTTTTTCTAGTTAATTTGTAACAGCATACGTGATTCAGTTCAAAGAGACTAAAGCCTTGGTATTAAATGGCTTTACTAGGTTTATTAATAAAGCTACCATCAAATAAATACCACTCAGGGCAAAATTGTGCTAAACTTTTTACCATCTTTTTAGAACTTATTTAATAATTATAATTCTGAAGTAGTATCTTCATGTTACATTTGAGATGGAAATTCAAAAAGGTTAAATGACTTGCCCATGGTCACAATTAATGTTGGCAGTATGAGATTCCATTCCCGTCGTACTACATATCCTTTATAGTTATTTTATCACATTTTTCTGGTACCTACCTATTGCTTAAACCTGATTACAAAAGATAATAATCTCTATCCAATCTTTGTTCTAGTATTGTTTCAGCATTGTCGGCATACATATTCTGAACAGAAGAAAATTATTTAAATTCTAACAGACTTGCTTCTATTTTGCTTCATACCCTAGCCTACTTATATTGGGTTTCCACTTGAGGATTCAATTTGTACTGTTGTGTAAGAAGAAAACATTTCTATATCTGGAGTCAAAATACATTATGAGTCTTTACTCATATGTGGAATTTGATGCAGACCAAGATCTTTTATCATTTGTTATTTTAATTTTAATTTAATCTTGTCAAAGTATGCATGCTGATTTTTTTTAATTTTAGTTGCTTGTTTTCATATTAAGAACCAGATATGTGCTTCAAACCATTTTTTAAGCGTGAGTGTGTGTATGTGTATGAATGAAAGAAGCAGGCTGAAGTTAGTAAATGGTATACTACATTCCTCTTAACAGAACCTTACAGAACAGTATGGCAAAGCTGCTCTCAGATCTTAGTGTGGACAGTACACGCTGCAAGTCTGGGAATAACCTTACTAAATCACTTCTGAACATTTATGATAAACAACTTCAGCACGATCCAGCCCCTGCTCGCACTTCCATAATGAGCTACCTGAATAAGTTAGAAACAAATCACAGTTTTGCGCATTTGGAGGCACAGTCGACAGTTGAAAATGAGGAAGCCATAGAGCCAGATGGGCCTTCAGAAAGTGCTGTGCCCTCCAGAGGGCTGCATCCTAATAACACCAGAGGTGGGGGAGAAGTTCCTGCACTTGGAATTGTTTCTACCTTTTCGAAACAGGATTCAGATGCAGAGGATGAAACTTTGACTCTAATAGAAGATGGATATAATTTGGACAGTACAGTTTACATTCCTCTTGTTCGAAGCACTTCTAAAGTGAAGTCGCCACTTTCTAAAAAAATGTCCCCTCAGCCCCAGATAAGTCTCTCTACCACACAGCTCATCAGCAGCAGTGGACTTGTCTCTGAAACAGAGAAGAAATTGTGCACACCTTCAGTTTGTTCTTTGAGACAAGAAGTAGAAGATGCACCTGAAAAACTTTCCAAAACAGCTGATATGGAGGACAAACAGCTCCTTGAAAAAATAAAGGAAGCCATTGGCAAGATTCCTGTTGCCAAGGTGGATCCAGAGGTACAGGATGCGTGTCACGACCCTCCATCTTGTCACAAAAGCAGGGTTCAGGTGAAAGGCAGCGCTGCCTGTGAAGGCAGTATTCTCAACTCCGACTTGATGTCTGACTGGAGCATCTCTTCTTTTTCAACATTCACGTCTCGTGATGAACAAGACTTCAGAAATGGCCTTGCAGCACTGGATGCCAACATTGCTAGACTCCAGAACTCCTTACGGTCTGGTCTTCTGGAGAAATGAACTAAGAACACTAATATTGTACTTCCTCTATTTAAGATTAGAGCTTGGCTTTGTTGAAGATATATTTTAATTGTCTCTAGAGAAGTGACATTTTTGTATTAATTATGCATAAAATAAATTGAATAATAAATCTTACTGGACTGTCTTGACACTGTGGAACCTAGAAAAACAAATCCGCTTCAGAAACTGATAGCTGTTAAAGTTGTGAATAACTAGGAAGTAATGTTTTAAATTTAGTGCTTGACAATTAGAGTTCTTTTTTAAAATTGTAATTCCTGGATTAAGGATATTAATTGAAAAGATTTTCTACCCTAAATTGTTTAGTTGTTCTAAAACATAAAGGAATATAGTCCATTGATTCAGTTAATGGTATTCAAGCTAGTGTTTCTTTTTTGTTTCATAATGCCTGTCTGTTTCTTAATGTCATTGTGTTTTTATATTGGATGTTCTATTGTTATAGGATAGTGTTGTTGGGAGAGATATAAAAACACGAGAAGACATGCCAGAATCCCAACCCCTTAAAAACTATTGATGGGACTGCAGGAGGGACAAGCCTGTGCTGTGATATATGCTGTTAAGTCACTGCCTGTGACTCCAGCTTTTTTTTTTAAAGATTTATTTTTATTATTTTTTTTATTGGAAAGGCGGATATACAGAGAGGAGAGACAGAGAGGAAGATCTTCTGTCCCATGATTCACTCCCCAAGTGAGTGCAACGGCCAATGCTATGCTGATCCAAAGCCAGGAGCCTCTTCCGGGTCTCCCACACGGGTGCAGGGTCCCAAAGCTTTGGGCTGTCCTCGACTGCTTTCCCGGGCCACAGGCAGGGAGGGGCTGCTGGGATAGAACCGGCACCCATATGAAATCCCAGGCGTGCAAGGCGAGGACCTTAACCACTTGTGCCATCGCGCTGGGCCCGACTCCAGCTTTTAATGTCAGGGTGCCACTTGAAGTTTCACTGCTTTACCTCTGATCCAGCTTCCTGCCGTTACTCCTGGGAAAGCAGCAAATGATGGCTCATGTACTTGGGCCCCTGGTTGGAGTTCCTGTCTCCTGGTTTCAACCCGGTGCAGACTAATCAGCAGCCATTTGGCAATGGACAGTGGAAGGACAATTCATTCCACCTTTCTCTGTCATTTTGCCCTTTAAATATATAAATCTTTTTAAACGTATCAATTGGTCCAAGAAAATATGGTAACATTTTAAGTAGATCTAGGCTGTCTTAAAACCTTGATATTTTTATTTATTTTTATCTTGAATGTATGTTTTTAAAAATGTATTTCCTTTGAAAGTGTTGGATAGAGATTTTCAATTCACTGATTCACTCTGCAGATGGTCACAATGGCAAGCACTGGTCCAGGCCAAACCCAGACAAGTTTCCCACGTGGGTCTCAGGAACGCAGTGTGCTATGTTTTTCTGCTTTTCCCAGGCCATTAGCAAGGAGTTAAATTGGAAAAAGAATGGCCAGGACTCCAACCAGCACCCACATGGGATCACAGGCAGTGACTTTACCTGGTACACCACAAAGCTGTCCCCATGAACATATGTTTTAACGGCTGTATGAAATCAAGTCATGTTGATAAGGAAATGCTAGCAGATATGTTCTAGTTTGGGGGATTTATTTATGTGTAAATAAAGAGATTTTGTTCTTACTGTATTTGAATATGATGGAGTTTGTAAATCTTGGCATGGGTTGTAATTCTACATTTCTGGACTTTTAAAATTTTTCTTTCCATAGCACAATAGCAGAGAACATTCTCTATTCTAGAAATAGTATGAACATGATTGGTTTCTGCTTTTCTGTACCAGTACTTCTGACCTATTCGGAGCCACATGCTTGAGGGTAAGCAGCACATTTAAACTTTTGCAAAGCTGGATGTCGTGCTGTCACTAAGTCTTTGTGCAGGTCACCTGCCTAGTACAATTGTGTTCAGTACTTGGACACGTATCAGCGTTCATGAATGTTTTGCTAGTCCCAGAATTTTTCTGCTGTTTTTGAGGTGTTGGTGCTCTTACAAGGCCCAGTTTTTCAGATAATTTTTTTGTTAATTCTGAAAATGTTAAGAGTTATAAAGTATATTCACAGGATTGTTCATTGGCATTTTAAATTTTCTTACTTTTGGTATTCAGAAATTAATTCATAGACTGCCTATTTGGGGATAACAGGCCACAACTCTCTTAAGTTCAGAAATACAGAATAATAAAACAAGAGAGAAAATTGTGTTATCTTTCTACTCCTAAATTGCATCTGTCAGTTATATTTCTGAAGTAGCATAAGATTATTATTTGGTGATTCTGAGACTGTAGAGAAAAAAACAAATTTGATTTCTTATATGTGCTCACAACACTGATAACTCTGTGATCCTAAAATGTGTGCAAATTTCTCTCTACCAGCAAGCAAGTGATAGTCCTATAGTGAGGCACAGCTGGGCATTCTCTGACTCAGATCAGTTCTGAAGCTGTCTACTTGAAATGAACATGATGTCTGACGCAGTTGAGGACTCTGTCCCACCAAAATGCCCACTGACATCAGACACCAGGCATAAGTCTAAGCCTCCAGATCTGATGTACTAGCTTCCAGTCAGGTTTCCATAACCCCTATGGTGGCTCACAGAGCCCAGAGAAACACTGTTTATCATTTTATTATACAGGATCTGTTGAAGAACCCAAGTAAGCAGCCAGGTGAAGAGATTATGTGCGGCAAGGTCTGGAAAGGTCCCGAGTACAGGGGCTTCCGTCCCTGTGGATTTGGGCCATGCGGCCCCTCCTGTACGTGAGTTCGTTCTGGCTGAGCTGTGCTGAAGCTGTCAGAACCCTGTCCTTCAAGTTTTTTATTGTTAACTTCAATGCAGTTGGAGCCTAGAACACAGTGGAGGAATGTGATTGGACAGAAGGGACGTGATCAAATGCTTATTGACTGGGTTGGGAAAACCCAGCAAGGCCTGTCTGTCCAGATTCCTCTTGAGCTCTCTGGGCAGCATTTGTTCCTCTCAAGTATGGGGCAAGAACCCTTCTGGAATGGGAGTCTTGTGACCTACGTTCAGACAAGGTAGGTCATAGTTTTTTATGGTCATCTCTAAGACAGAAAGGGGAAGGGACAGGGAAGATTATATAGAGTGTATTTTTAGTTGACCCATCTTGAGGAAGAGAAATTCTAGTTTCTCTGACCTACCTTGGAAAGAAAAAGCAGATGAAAATAAGGCAAAAGTTCAGAGACATTTTGCTTGTAAGGCCTGAAGCACCCAAACATTACTGTCTTTTCACTTTTGTCTTTCTGAAGCTGCTTCAGGAACCAAGGACCAATGACCATAGATTTTCATTTAGGAAATAACAAGGACTGTGGGAATCATGAGCCAACCATGAACAAAAACCAAAGTGATATGCTATAATGTCACAGCAATAAAAGAATATGGCCTGTTAATACAGGACAGGCATCTTATATTCAAAGTAAATTTATACCTGAGTGTATTAAGAGTGTATTCTGTGTCTCCCAGGTTGATGCAGGGACCCAAGCACTTGAACCATCTTCTGCCTCCTCAGATGAACATTAAGAGGAGAGTACAAGATATTCCATTAAGGGAGAGAGCCCTCACAAGTGGCATCTTACCCCCTGTGCCAAGTATTCCCCCTGCAAAGCAAATTTATATGCTTATGGGTTTGATGAAGTAGTAGTTAATAACTTGATTGAAGAATAAGTCAGCCTAAAAATTCTTTTTGAACAGCCTTCACCAGGAGGATGCTGCTTATTTCATACAGGGTATGAACATGTAAGAGAAAAAGAGAGAGTGGTAACAAAGAATGCACTCAGAAACAATGTCTTGAATCCCATGCTAAGGAATATCCTTGAAACATTTTGTTTCCTAATTGAAGGTCATAAGATAAAATTGAATGCTGTTAGGGCCTGGTGCAGTGGGGTGGCCTAGCAGCTTAAAGTCCTTGCCTTAAGCACACCAGGATCCCATATTGGTTTTGGTTCTAATCCCAGAAACCCTGCTTCTCATCCAGCTCCCTGCTTGTGGCCTGGGGAAGCATTAAAAGATGGCCCAAAGCCTTGGGACTTTGCCACCCATGTGAGAGACCTGGAAGAAGCTTCTGGCTCCTGGGTTTGGATTGGCAAAGCTCCAGGCCATTGTGGTCACTTGGGGAGTGAATCAGCAGACAGAAGAACTTCCTGTCTTTCCTCCTCTCTGTATATCTGACTTTGCAATAAGAATAAATAAATCTTTAAAAAGGAAGAAGGAATTGAGTGCTGTTAAAATTTCAGAGTGATGATAAATAGGAGAGATTAGGAAAGCCATCATAATCCTTTGACAATAAAAGTGGAAAAGGAAGCAGATTGAAAAGAGAAGTTTAGAGGCTTGGTGATTAGTAAATAAAAGGAAAATTTAAAAATTATTCTTGGGATTCACAATTTGGTTTGGAGATGCACTGAGTGGTGTCTAAAATGGGAAATCAGGGAAGCCATTTGGTACAGCAATTAAAATGCCACTTGGGACACATGCATCGTATCTTGGAGTGCCTGGATCAGAATCCAGCCCAGCTCTAGCTTCTGCCATCCTGTTGTAGCTTGAGTTGCAGCAGCTATAGCCTGCGTGGTTGCTTTCTGATACCCATGTGGGAACTGGGGGTGAGTTCTTTCCTGGTTCCAGCTTCAGCCTGGCTTGATGATAATACACTGATAATATAGAATTAGATCATCGTACTGGGAGTTTCATAGCCTGCTTCAGAAGGGTCAGTGTGTCCCCAGAGTTCAGCCCTCTGATGGGATCCTTCCAGATGGCCACAGTGTGAAAAGTAGACTTGTAGAGTATCCTCCAATATCTGCTAGAGTAAACTCAGCTTCTGATAGCTACTGGTCCTCTAACATTTTGCCAATATTACTGTCCTGATCCATGAAGGTGATGTACAAATTTAAATAAATTTTACATTCGTAAGTACCATTGGAAATGAAATAATTCTGTTGGAGCCAAGTTTAGCAAGAGCCTACAGGCAGAGTTAAGGAACCAAAGAATTGCTTGGCACACATTTTTCCCCTTATTTTATCTTTGTAATTTAATACATTTTTCCAAAGTGTATTTCATTAGTTGTGAGATTTATATTTATGTCAAGTGCTTTAAAAGTTATAAAGCTGTGGTTCCTCTAGATGGGAAATAGGGCAGAATAACAAAGCCTGCTTCATGTAGAAAAGGTGTATGGTCAAATCACAACCAAGTGTGTATCTAATACACATTGTGAAATGATTCCAGCTAAAATTCATTTATTC